GTTGGGGTCGGGAAGGATGGGGGATGGGGCGGATGGCACACCATGAATAGTTCTTCACATTTTTAATCGCAAAATTGTGACTCATCCACGATTTATTCCCAATTGTAATATCACCAAATTAAAAATCTCAAAAATCCTGTCAATGCTCAGTCCTACCTTGAACTTCGCGCACGAACTCAGCTCCATTTTTTCGATGATAAGTTTCATCCGAACACACCTGGCAAGATCATCCTTGACAGGCTAAATAGCTGTTCTTTTAACGGATTGAATATAACTTTCTTCGAAGATAAATTTTGATCAGCCCAAAATATACGATAAAAACCGTCTCGCGGTTCCAACGAGAGCGGAGGACGGCTGTTTTTACGTTGTTTCCTTTCCTTGTTCTTGCGGCTGAAAATGAAGTTGAAACGCTTTGGAACATTCCACGGTTGGTTATATTGTTGTTTTTTGTCGCAGTCATTTTCGCAGTTATTTTTGCTCGAAAAATTAAATCATTTTTGCTGGAAATGAGATGGCGGAAAGCATTACCTTTCGAACAACCATCGTATACAGAATATTACTGTTTGAAAATCTATTGGGAAAGTTTCTGCGCGTTCCTTCCACTCTTCAACACATTACTTGTGAGGATTTAATCATGTTAATCATGTTTTATCAACTTTTTTTAACGAAAAAGGTAGGTGGCATGCTTCAATATAATGTTTACAATCATGATTTATCCACCCCCTCCCCTTTTTCATCTATATTTGACTCTTTTTTCAGGTCAAATTTGTCTCCAAGATATTTTAAAACATTTTTGTGTTGCCTTGTTTTTTCCGAAATATCACAGTTTTTTGGTAATTGCTAAGCTGATTTTAATTAAACTTTAACCGTCCTACGTGTCTTATGTATTGTAAACATGCCCCTGAAAAGTCCTAATGATACGAGATTCAAACACAGTAAAAAAGTTTTTAAATTATTAGGGACTCAAATTGTGCAACAAGGATGTAAGCAGCGGTGTGTATTTTAGTTTATTTGGTGATTACTACGTATCCCTCATTAGGAAAGCGATATTTTGCTTACATTTTTGAAAAATAATGAACCACTGAGCAGAGTAAGAATTTAACTGCAGAGGAGTGTTTCATTAAGTATTGAAATTTTATGCAGAGCAAGTTGGATCCATCGAAAACTTCCAATCCAAAATTCACTCGCCGATTAAAAATTACGTGTCTCATACGTTAGAATCAGCGAATGCAAACTTTTCGCTCGCAAAAAAAAAAAAAAAAAAAAAAAACAGAATCAAGTGTTCTATTCCACAGCTTAGCTCTCATGAAAAGCACGTCCAACTTAATGCTCCTGAACCTCCACCTCCCCGGAAAACCCTACAATTAGAAGAAAAAGAGGCAAAATTAAAGGTCATGACCGATGATGTGCCCGCTTCGAAGCCCTACCTCCTTCCGGACCGCTAATTCCTCTAATTTTAGAAAAGAATGGATTCGTACTTCTAGTTCGTCAAACCCTCTCATTCAGTGCAATTTTTTCGGACTGCGTGTTCCGTCGCCCCGGTTGTTTTTCTCGCAACAGATTTCTGACTCAAGTCGACGTATGTGGCCAATATTTTCCTTACATTGACAAAATTTCCAGGTAGAATATTTTTAAAACGAAGTATAGTGCATGAATGTGGTGGCAACCGCTTAAAGTCTGATGGATTCCATTGAATCTTATAGAAATATTTTGAAAAAAATATATTACAGTCGATATTCCGAGAACAATATTCATTGAATATTCTTTTTCTCGTGAATCTGCCCGCCCCACTAACGAAATTGTATCAGGGGGCTTTATTACAATAATTTTCATTGATTATGAATATTTAATAATAAAAGTTTATAGGATTTTTTTTTTAGGGGGGGGGGCAAACTACTGAATAAATTTAAAGGCAAAACTTTTCATTGAAAAAATAAGTTGGAAAACAAACTGAAGTTCTAAAAATACGAATGAAATAGTCGAAAAATATTGATTGAATATATTATAAAGGGATCGATAATATTACTACAAGGAGGACCAATATTGCCACAATACTGAGTCAATATGCATTCAAGGATTCGAATTTTGATGTAATATTTCCCAAAAATATTTTGTCTTGACCGGGTCGTTAGTAGTTAGTACTCACGTTGCAGTTCTTTCTGCACCTCTCTTTTGGTCTCTAGTCCCTCCTATCAATCTCAGTTATAAATGCAGGTAAAAAACAGTGGCGTCATTTGTGGGAGGGGGATGATAAAGAAACCAAAAAAGAATTCGCATATTAGTTGAAAATATAATTGTATCATGCACTGACGAGGGAACTTAGTATAGGGTTGTTGACAGCGTCATACCAGGTGAACATTAATTTTTTTTTATTAATATTATCCGCAATCAAGATATAAAATAATTATTTCAAAATCAAATTAGTAGAAACCAGGGGACCAAATATTGGTACTAATACAAATATAAATAAGTAAAATAGGTATATCATAGTGCAAATATCAATTCGTCATTGAAAAGGGAACACGTATTGTATCGAATGGATCTAAAAAATGGCATAATCTCTTCAGTGCGATCGATGGGAAGAAACTATTGGAGTAGATGGATAAATCGATAAAATGTATGATATTGCATGCTAATTGCGCAATTGAACATAAGGCAGCACCCGTCTTAAATCGACGCATGCAGTCATAAAATTTTTACTTTATTACTTTTCTTGTCATTTATGAACGACTAATGATCCCGCTTGCAAATTATTTAGCAAAATATTGCGGGTGTGATGTATTTTTACGCGGAGTTGCTCTTATTTGTTAGTTACAGTAGTGAAGTGCTGTGGCTGAGGTAAGTCTTTTCTTGTCGTTTATCGTGGTTTTTCATGTGATTTAAAAAAACTTAGAGACTTTATTCTGTTATAATTAAATTTTTTTTATTAAAATTTAGTATAATCGTATGTTAAGTATATATAATCTTAATGTAATTTTAGTATAATCGGTTTTTGAAATTTCTTTAATTCGTATGTAGAAAAAAGTGTTCATAGTGCCGATAAAGTGTTAGGAAAATTGCGCAGTATGCTAAAACATAGTGAAACTTAGAGACCGCATATCTGCACGGAAAAAATTTTAGAGGTTATCCCCTTAAATTTTTTCACTACCCTAATCTGCTGAATGATATGGGCATGTCAAATTAATTGAGGGGCTGGAGGACATGGCGGATAGAAGCAGTTTTTGAAAAACGTGAAATATTAATGATTTCAAGCTAACCTAGTCTTAATGCATATTCTGTGAAAAATTCGCTCCCGAATTCCAATTTTTAAGCATCAAAAAGTCAGTTTGAACTTTCTTTTCGATATAAGGATCCATGTAATTTCGAAACTTCAAATACGTATTTCTCGAAATAGCAAAAACTGCACTACTGTGGCTTGTCCTCCAAGCCTCTCATTTGAGGTCACTTACAGGTGCAGGGAGTGAATATTGATGGCTAAAGACATTGACTAGCTTTTCAAAGAAAATATGACAAATTTCAGGTAAGAACTCTGCTATTCCGTGGTTTCGCACTTTAACCATCGATATGAAAATAAAGAGAAGACATTATCAGTTGGATTTTGTGTAGTGTTTTAATTTTTTATTAGAATAATTGACAAATGGTCCATACAGAGTGGCGTGTACCTGTGCATAAGACTTCAAAATCACAAGTTGAAAAACGCTGCGCAAGTTTGAATGATTGTATTAAATACTGCATTCGGCACGGAACGCATATTAGCGCCTGCAAGACTGCATGAATACTTCATGCATTGCGAGTACTTCACCGCGCTGTTAGTGCCTGCAACACTGAATGGATACTTCACGCATTGCGCGTACCGGTCGCACCTCAATCGTCGTGTTTCCCCGTTTTCCGTCCTGCGTAGGTCAAAGTGTAAACAACGCGCAACAGCTAATCCGTATTCCTCGAAATAGCAAACATTGCGCTTATGTGCCGTGTCCTCCAAGTCCCTAAATTGTGGTAGCACCGCAACTTAAGTTGGGATGGTAACCTAATTTTTAGGGCACTACCGTCCTAACTCTTTTTCTCCGTATGGGTTACGGTATTTAAAAATGTCTCATCTATATTATTTTTTGCGGGGAAAACAAATCAAGATCTTTATTTCAAATCTATGTGAGGTATTTTCCGCGCAGAGAAGCTAAATCACGTAAAACATGAACGTACTCCTCTTTAAAATGGATGTGAAAGTCCACGGCACGGAATGGATCTCCGAGAAATTGAGGAGTGGAAAGTCAAAACATGGTAAGCGCCATACATTTTTGTTAAGATAGTACGACTGTTCCCAAAGTTGAAAGAAATAACTTTTGGGAAGGGAGGAGAGGAGAGGGGTGCCTCACTGCCTCATGAGAGAGGGTCTGGGGACACTCAAAGATGCACCACAAAGGGAAATTTGTGGGACTTCCCTAGCTTTAGAGGAGGATTTTCCTGGTTTCAAGGGCTCCCAGGGAATAATTTGAAAAATGAGAGTCGTCTCAGGTGCAATTGAATCGGTCAGTTACAAAAGGGATCAAGCTCCAGATATTAAAATACAAAAAAACTGTTGAAACTGTATGAACCAGCCGATATAAACTGCAGATTAATTAATAATGTAATTAATTAATTCATCGCTTTCATATATAGAGCTCTGAGATTTATAAGGGGTCAATTACAACAGTTATTACCATTTTTCTCAAATCCTCATTTTTGGCGCTTGAGTCCTTTTGTAACTGACCGTTTCATTTTTGAGCTATTCTCACCAAAAAATTGATCGAATTTCAATTTCGAAGATGAACAAAATGACCCTCAGGTAAAATCTTGGTAAAATTTTTCAAATTTCTTGGGGACCGAGTAAATTTCCCGGAAGGCAGGCCCCCTCTATTTCCGCCCATGACTATTTCTGTCATTCAAAGGAAATCGAATGACCTTCGAATGGCAAATCTTCACGTAAAATTAAGACTGAAGTTCGTCGTCCCTCTGACTTAAGCTGCCGCGCTAAGGAAAAGCGCCGTATGGACATTTGAGAGTTGCCAAATGTCCCCGGATAAAACATGTGTATTATGAGGTAAGTTAAGCATATACTATAGTTTCGTGAATTTTTGGATATTTTAGATTGAATTAAGGAAAAAAAATATTTAAAAAATGCGCAGAAAAATATTCACAACTTCCTCAATAAATTCGTAATTTATCAAAGGAAATTTGGCAACTCTTGAAAGTTCATACGGCATTTTTCCTCAGTACGCCATTAAGGACGAATTTCGATTTTCACGTGAGCCCTGCACTTCATGTAACTCCATGCTCTTTAGGGCTCACGTGGAATGCTGCCGTGCTAAGGAAGAGCGCCGTATGAACATTCGAGAGTTGCCAAATTTCCTTCAATAAAATGTTTCTTTTTGAGGAAAGATATGAATATTTTTCCTGGATATTTTCAGGGATTTTAAGTGAAATTGCGGACAAAATTATCTGAAAAATTGGGAGGAAAATATTCATATGTCTACTGGGAAATTCGTGTTTTATCAAAGGAAATCTGGCAACGCCTAAAGGTGCATACGGCGTTTTTCCTTAGCACGGCAGAATGGGAGATACGCCCTTACGTCAGAGGAGCGACGAATTGTCAGAGCACATCGACCGATTAAAAGTCCATGAAGCGAAAGCATTTACGTTCTGCCACCTGTATGCTATAATGTAGTTAGTACCCGTAATTTATAATTCTTATCAGCATGTCCTTAGATTATGCATGTACTTGTACTTGCTTGTAGCCTGTGATCCTTATGTATACCACTGAAGATGGCCCTATGGGCTGAAATGCATTTGGGTAAATAAAAACTGTAATTTATGCATCTACTTGGCGTACCTTACTCTCTCCGAATCAATTTACGTTCTCTTAATTTTTTTTTTTTTTTTTTTTTTTGGGGGGGGGGTCGTCAACTTTTAGGGGGAGTTTTTTGGGAATGGGCTGGGGTGGCTACTGCCACCTAGAATTTCAGAAATACGAAGCACAATCCTAACTGGTTTTTTTTTTAAACTTTTATTGATGAACATAATCACAAGGTATTAAATGTTTTCACATTAACTATTTACACAACTAAAAATTTGAATGGGCGAGTCGTTCCTAGCTGTACACTTGGTGGCGCTTACCGGATTTTGATCGTCCACACTTGAACCGTCGAAGAATGCATCCGCACTGTCATCGCAATCGGTGGCTTCCAATCGGTTATTTTATCAGTTAAGATTCACCCAAGTGACTCGTCACGATTGCACCGAGAAACAATGAACACAACACCGAATTTACATTGAACCGTGCAATTGATCTAAAATTCTATGTCTAGCCGGTTATGGCATTGACCGAATAATTTTCACCGAATGACCTTGCGGCACACAATGGATTATTAAGTCCATTAGAGAAGCAGGATATGGAATTTTTTACTAAGATTGCAAATTTTGATGTTTAACTTGTCCAATTTTGAATTTTGAAGGGCATTTCACGAGGAAACTAATGAGGCCACTTTTGAAACCTCAACATTTTGTATGAGCGGAGTTATAAGCTTTTAAAGTTTTCAAATGTTGTCTAACCTCTCTCATTGACTCAACGAACTACACCTCTAGAATGGCCGCGAGATAGCAAACCTGCGGTACGCGCAAGGGCCGGTTTTTGAAGGCAGGAGGGGGGTGGGAGCCCAAGTATAGCTAACCTCAATCTCCATTTCTGCTGCGTCTTGCCCATAAGGATTACATGTGAAAATTTCAACCTATGTAAACTTTCATTTTTTTTGAGGTTTGCTTTCAAAGTTCCTATTTTTTGAATTAAGAAAACCTTTGGAGGTGCGATTATTATGCAATCTTTTCATTGCTATCACTTTATTCAACAATATTCGGCAAAATGTGGGCAGCGTCTGACATGGGTTTAGATGGCAGCCTGCTGTGTGAGCCCAAGTAAACCTAACCTATATCAACTTCAAAACGTTCCGGGTCTCTAACACTGGTCGGCCATTCTAGAGGTGTAGTTCGTTGGCATAAGGTGGCAGTGCAGTCGGCACATTTCTGTGAGGAGGAAAAACCGGTAGTGCACCGTGCACCTGCCAAAAAAGTCGCGTTACTTTTGACTTGAGATGGTGAGAAACATGAGCATTGAAAATATCTTTACGCAAAGTACGGAGTATCGCCTGTCCTTTTTTTCAAAAGAATGTTTGCTTTAGTCCCATGGACTTTTTCTTTATTTTACGCAAAGCACACGGCGGAGAACGCGCGTCTGTATCGTCTTAAAGAATAATTTGCGGGGGAATTGAATATTTTGTTTCTATCTCAAAAAACAAGTGTAATCCATAAATATTAATTCGTCCTTAAATCAAATGTTCTAAAACAGCTTTTTTGTTTAAATAAATATGTTACTGTATCTTTTACTGCGATTGTGAACCAATTATTTTGGGGAGATTTTAGACCGGTGAATTTCACAATTAGAGCGAGTTTTAACTGCTTAAGGAGATTCATCAATGAGATCGGTGGAATTTTGAGAAAAAAATTCCAGTCCGAAAATTCAGTCGTTACCGCTCTCTGCGGCAAGTCGGAAGTGTAACTGACTGCCGTGATTACTTACAGCTTCTGATCTTTGTCCAGATGGAGTGGTCGGTATTAATTGTGCCGGGGATTCTTTTGGCGGCCCTGATGGCACGCTTGCTAATTTACCGCTGGAGAAATCGACGGGTACTCAAATTCATGGCCTCCATCCCTGGACCCACTTGTATTCCATTCTTCGGCAACGCATACCTCACCCTCCGAGTCAATAACACAGGTAAATATAGCTTTTTAAGACTGCATCTGTGTCTAAGGGATAAGAATGTGCCTTGCCTAATAATGTTAACCTCAGTTAGCATCAAAATCAATTACTATTAATGGAAAAACAGTTTGCAGTTGCACTGAAAAAAAATTCTCGGCGTTTTTACCAAGATCCGTTGGTACCTTTACCATCTCACTTTTTTTACCAATTATTGGTAATTTTACCAAGACAGACTGGTGAACTTACCAAAAAACCGTTATTTTTACTGTTTTTTTTCAGGTAAGAATACCACTTTTATTGGTAATCAATTCCCGGTAACTTTGCCATTTTATCTCGGTAATTCTACCACAGTCGATAAAAAATATTGGCGATTTTACCAAGGTCCAGTAAAATTACCAATTCCATAAATGGTAATTTTACCAAGATAAAACTGGGAGCAAATAGAATCCTGAATTCTTGGTAATTTTACCCTTTTCTTAGTAAATACACCGAGATTTTTTTTTCAGTGTGGGAACTGCGATTTCTACGATCCATCTATCCATCTGTCTATCTATCTGTCTACCCATCCATCTATCTATCTATCATCTATCTATCTATCTATCTATCTATCTATCTATCTATCTATCTATCTATCTATCTACCTATCTATCTACCTATCTATCTATCTATCTATCTATCTATCCATCCATCCATCCGTCCATCCATAAATCCATCCATCCATAAATCCATCCATCCATCCATCTATGCATGTATGCATGTACGTATGTATGTATGTATGTATCTATCTATCTATCTCTCTATCTATCCATCCATCTATCTATCTATCTACCCATAACTAATAATAAAACACATCGATTGCCGGAGTCGAAAAAACCTATCTCCGATTTCTTGTTGCCGTTGTTTTTACAAATCTCCGCTATCATGCCTCATGTTTTTTAGGGGAAAAATTTACATTTTCTCCTGACATTTCTCCTGACACTGAAATATTCAAGTGAACAATATTAATTTTTTTTTTCTTCACTTGCTGGGCCTTGTATTGAACGCCAAACCCCGTACGCTATATTTGAGCAGTAATAAATCCAGGAGTTTTTATCTTCGTTGATCTTCATGTTTCTGAGAATCATAAGCACAAGATCTCCTCGATCTCCATAACAACTTTATAACCCAATATGAAGAAAATCATAATGCTGAAACGAATGCAAAAAACGCAATTAATAAGCTGACACAGATAATCTGAAAAATGTATTTTTTCCATTCACTTAGAAAAAGTACATAGTTCCCTGTGAAAGCAAGTTCATAAAGCGTATCTATTTTATGTGAGAGTAAAAAGAAATGAATTTCCTTGATCAGCATGCGTCTTTTTTATGGAGATAAGTAATTTAACAAAGTTGTCTTGCACCTGGGCCTACTATAACAAAAAAGCACGCAAAAGTTATGCAAAGTTTGTGTGACTTACCTGAAAAGGGCAACCGACGCGCGAATGTTTCATCGCTGCGCGGAGTTATGTCGCTGACGAGATTTTTTTATAAAAATTACCGAGAAAAAGAGAGAAAAAAAAATAAGGGGAAAAAAGCAAGAAAAAAATTTGCACGATAAAAAATGAACACCCTGTGTCAAAGCTCATTCAGCTTCAACCCAAGTCTTCTTAGTTAAGAGAGAACCTAATTAGAACACTGTCTTATTCGTGTGCCTCGTGTAATTGCCTGCCTATGCTGGAACCTGAATATGAAGGCATATTTCGACGGTGGAAGTCGGCAATCACATAATAACTCGGTTTGCGACGCCGCAGACTTCCTGTCATACTTTATTTTTTAAACGGTAAACTACTCAACGGTAATTCTTCAAAATTGCCGTGATTTTTCTTCTATGTGCGAGGAAAATTCTGCAAAAACTTCAAGGAATCATGTCCATTTGTTCTCCTTTAAAAAAATGACATAGTTGCGGAGATTTTCAGACACCGCAAACGAGTTATGTGATTGCCGACTTGCACCGTCGATTTCTTTTATTATAATGGTAACTCCACCAATTTTTTCATATTTCTGACTGTTGCTAACTGTAGGCAACAATATGGTTTCACATTCAACCAACCGAAATAGGATGCGTTTTAAGGAAGCACAAAGGGCAAATTCCAAAGTCCGAGAGAATTTTCAATATATCGACGGTGAAACTACCAAACCACGTATCTCGTTTGCGGTGTTTAAAAATCTACGCTCGCATTTCATTTTTTTGAAGTAGACCAAATCAATATCATTCCTTGAAATTTTCATAGAATTCTCTCCGCACGAAGAGGAAAAATCACAGAAATTTTCAAGACTGGACGTTAAGTAGTTTTTCCTTTAAAAAATAAAGTATGACAGGAAGTCTGCGACGTCGCAAACCGAGATACGTGGTTTGGTAGTTTCACCGTCGATATGTCATGGTTCTTCGCACAAAGGCATTGATATAGTAAGATATAAATGTCATTAAATGGAAAATGCAGAAGAAATTTTTCCTCCTTGTTTCGCCATTGAATATAGACGTATAACTATACCATTTTGAATTTCTCAATGATTCTAGGTATTCATCAAACTCTTCGCCAGCTTTCGAAAGAGTACCCAAGGGCAGTCGCAATTTGGGTTCTTGGTGAACCCTACCTCCTAACAGCTGATCGCCAAGTTTTTAACGTGAGTACCCTCGGTCGAAGAAAAAAATTGGGTGAAAAATATTTATAAGCGATTCATTAAATATTTCGTTTTAAATTATTTTAAGACGCCAAAGATCTCCTGATGAAACTTAGAGTAAGAAAGTGCCTGCATATGAAATGAACAACTTACTGACAGAGACGTGGCGTGTTTTGCGATATATCGCTTTGTTAGCCATTTAAACCTATTGAAAAGGATCCGAAGACAGGGTGTTCGCGACGAACACCTTGATAGGATATATTTCCAGCCTAGATGAGCCACTCTTTATAGATTAACCCACGAGGGGTCCGCGAAACGAATATGAGAGGGTGGGTCGCATAGCGGCCAGGGGCGTAGCCCCCCTAATCTGATATAATTTGCGTCGGCGCGCAATGAATGTCACACTGCATTGATTAGAATTAAATCCAATGAATATATGGAAGTATATGTGACGAGCGCTACAAACAGAGACATGTGGAGCACGATGGCGAGACCATGAGCAAGAACATTTAACTTGCGGCAATGGCATTTCAAAATTTCTGCTTCTATTTTATTTTGAGAGAAAATGCGAGGAATTTTTATTCGAGTTTTTCAAAGAATATTCTAAAGAAAATATGATTAGAAACATGATCACATTCGTTTAGGTCACATGTAGAGGGAGAGGCGGTCCAATGAATTTGTGGTTTTTTCCTTTATTTCATGATTCCAGCAACTTGTGGGTAATGCATGTATTTACAATCAAAGTGTGTACGTAACATTCAAGAAAAACATTTGCTTTCACAATTTTCAGGCGCTTTCTTTGTGTTCGCAAAATATAAACAAAACGAGTGATTACGATCCTTTCAAATTCCACTGTACGGCAATCTTCACTGCCAACGGTGAGTAACTAGACCTTACTTATTTTATACATATTTACATAATGATTTCGGAAAAATTAATAATTAGTAAGATATACCAATGATTTTCCACTGCTTTGAAAAAATAAAATAAATATTGAATGAAATACATTTTAAGAAATCGAGTCAGAAGTTGCTCAAAAGAAAAATCGAGCTGTTCTCGCAGAAAATTTGATTGACTTACGATTTCAAACACGGAAGATATTTTATAAAATTCCTTGGCAAAATTCCTAGAATTTTGCAACTACATGGGGGGGGGGAGGAGGGTGGCTAGTTTTGCGAATGGTTCGATTTTTTCTGGTAACTTATCCCCATCATCACTTTAAGACCATTTTGTTTCAAACAGGGTCGGAGTGGCGGAAAATTCGACGGATTATCAATCCAAGCTTCCGGACGAAAGTTCTGATGTCGTTCGGGCCCGCCTTCAGTTGCCACACGAAGACTTTGCTGCAGCGCCTGCAATCACACGCCGATACCGGTTGCTACTTCGACATACTCACACCGGTCCACTCGTGCACAATTGATATGATCTGTGGTGAGTTCCATTTTCAACCCGTGCCTTAGACTGCCGTGATAGCGAAGAGGTGATGTATGTATGTATAAAGTCGCTTTTATAGCGCTCTTTGGCGCTCTGCGACCCCTAGCCGCCAAAGTCCCCTATCCTCCCAAAGCCCTTCAGGGAGTTGACAAACCCTCATTTCTTCTAAAATCCCCTGTCGCCACCCTTTCACTGGGCGTCCCCTTCGTCTCCTTCCAGGAGGAACCCAATCAAGCAACTTCTTTGGCAGCCTTTCGTCCGTCATTCTATTGACATGACCATACCAGACAAGCTGTCTGGTCATGACGTCGAATATGATGTCATTTTCGACTCCCATGATCTGACGCACTCTTTCATTGCGGACCCGATCTCTCCTAGAACGAAGATGCAAAAGAACGCAGAACTCCTAGAACGCAGAAATGCAAGCGAAGAGGTGATCAAATGCAAAAAATGAGGTTTTGAGGAAACGGGCTCAGAAGTTTCTGACCGAAAAATTTTATTGAAAGCAGAAGCCTCCGTTCTTTGTCAAATTGCCACTAATCGTCCGACGGACTCCTAGAAATCGTTTGGATGATTAAAAATCGACTGATTTTATTTCAATTCTTACATGAAAAGGGTATTTTTCATTTTCGTACAAGCCGTGAGTGCTATCTTCTGCATGCTTTCGTGGTTGCGTTTAGGGCACACAACAAACGCATTTTCAGGTTAGAAATTCGCAGAGGAGGGCGGCACTTTACTCTTACTCTTACTACTTAAAAGCACTGTTTTCATTGGCAAAACTACGTCATTTTTTGCGCACTTACGGCTTTCTCATATATCTCGTTTTGATACAATTAAGATGAATTTCTCTGTTTTAGCAATTTTTACTTCCGCCGCTGCCCGACCGAACTGTGTTGGCGCAATGCGTGAAGTATTCATGCAGTCTTGTAGGCGTTATTCGTTTTAGACAAATTTTGAAGGAAACTCGATTTCGAAAATTTAACCCTTACTACTCTCTTTTCTATCACGCAGTAGAGTCGTTGACGGGCCCGTTGCGAGGTGCGGGGATTTGCAAATTGATGAGTGATTCCAACACCGAAAAAAAAGTGAAGTTGATTTGACATTCTGGGTGTAAAAAAAGTGTGCGAGAACTCATGAGATGCTGAATTACCGCCACAGCAGTCAGTTATACATATAACATATTGGCATTGCTAGAGTAATTGCCTTAGCGGGTAATTCAGCATTTTATAAGTTCTCGCACACTTTTTTTACACCCGGAATTTTAAATCGACCTCACTTTTTTTCCTGTGAATGGCAGATTTCACGAAAAGAACGATGGCGCTATTAATAAATCTTGAAATCGCCTCCCACACTTAAAAAAAGCTGTTTTAGGAACTCATACATTCAAAACCATCACTTTTACCCGAGAACAGATCCGGTACACTCGTGACGTCATCACTTCTTCTTCTCCCACACTTAAAAAAAGCTGTTTTAGGAACTCATCCATTCAAAACCATCACTTTTACGCGAGAACAGATCCGGTACACCCGCGACGTCACGCAGTGCATGACAAACCTGGTTTCTTCATCAAGCGGCTGCCAATTCCTTACGGATAAATACATCGTGAACGATGATAAGAGACCAGGGTTGTCGTGTAGAATGACGTCACGAAAGTACCGGGTCCGTACCTGCGTTAAAGTGACCGTATTGAAAATCCGAATTTTGGGGCGTTTTTAAGTTGATTTTTTTGGAGTTTTCAGTGGTCAAAAAAATCCAGAAAAATTCCTATGACATCTTATTTCTTTCGATACAAGCAATAAAAAAAAATTGTGCAACGTACCCAAGTTTCTTGTACGATAATTAAATACGAAAGGAAATCGGCCAACGTTTCAAATGGAAATGTAGTCAAACCGGCGCACAGTGCGGCCCTCTGTGGACAAAAATAAAAAATTCAGAAGTCGACATCTGAATCTTTTTTTCTGGGGTTTTGTCGTCTTAAGGATATTTCTAACTCACAATAATGGTTCATTTTTAAATTTTTCGCCCAAAATTAGTTCAAATTTGGGTGGAAAGCGGGCGGAAAATGGGTCGAGAATCACTGGTCCATTGGAAATACACAGGAAAAAGACGACAACTTTAAATGAAGATTTCTCGCTTGAAACGTATAAAATGCTCCGGGTGGTTGACAGTTTCGTAATCCTCACATATCCAACTTCAATTCCACCAAAAAGATTTGCGAATTTTTGCGACTATCAGAGATACTTGAAGTTAAAGTTTGGGTTTTTCACGTTGCTTTCACATTGTTAACATAGGGCTAATTCGAGGTTGCCAACCTCAAATCAACTTTTCTCGAAAAATACGCAAAGAATCCGGAGATATAACATTTTCTTATTCCTCAAGTGTTTTACTTTGATAGTGCCAAAGGCTTTCCCCATGTCGGTGCAGGGCCGGATTTGCAAATAGGGTACATAGGCTATAGCCTAGGGCGCAACATTTTGAGGGGCGCAAAATTTTTGAGAATTTATTAAAAAACGTGACTTATTAAAAAATGTCTACGTTGTGGTTGACAAAGGTGTTTTTTTAAAGGTGAATTTGAACATTTTCCGGACACCTAACATCCTCCTCCTGATTTGGAGGAGAGGGGTGTCTGGGGGGGGGGCTTCCTCCCAACGAGAGCGCCTACTTTTAGGGGCGCCACCCTAAGTTCAGCCTAGGGCGCTAAAAATGTAAATCTGGCCCTCAACACTATTATCTTCATTATTTAAAGTCAAGTGTCTTTTACCGATTTGTGTCCGCATCGTCCATAAGGATGCCGCACTGTGCGGCGTGCGATATATCTCGGCAGATTCCATATCTTTTTATCCGAATACAAAACGAAGTCCGTTCGCCTCAATCCGAAAGGAGAATCTTTTTACTTTCATCACAAAAAGCGGAGAAGACTGAAGTGGGTCGATCGCATCTCGGTGGAATTTATCGCGGCAAAATGCCACGAAATGCTCCCGGCCGAAACTTCATGGAATTTATCTTCGGTGACCCGCCCTCACGCTCTCCGCGAAGTATCTTAAAATACCGAGAAACTTGAAATGCGAACGGGGGAAACGGCCTTGAACCTGAACCCCGGAGTAGGCTCCACAAGTTGGAGTCCTGCCATCCGGCTACACGGGCAGCGTTTATAGCGAAAAGGGACTCGTCACCCCAGCTGGAGACCAAGCGAGAATGAGGGCAATGACAGTGGAGTTTCAATGTGTGTCAATGTGCTAAAGTTTAAGGAACGTATTCATAGACGTACCTGCGGGCTGGTTATTGACATTGATAAACAAAGCTATAGACGAATGGATAGGGAACGATTCTGTTGGTTGAAATGGGTGGTTCCTATACACTGAAAAAAAATTCTCGGCGTTTTTACCACGGTCCGTTGGTACCTTTACCATCTCACTTTTTTTTACCAATTATTGGTAATTTTACCAAGACAGACTGGTGAGTTTACCTAAAAACCGGTATTTTTACTGGTTTTTTTTCAGGTAAGAATACCACTTTTATTGGTAATCAATTAGCGGTAACCTTGCCATTTTATCTCGGTAATTCTACCACAGCCGATAAAAAATATTGGCGTTTTTACCAAGGTCCAGTAAAATTACCGAGAAATTTTAATAATTTTACCGAGATTTCTCGGTAAAATTACCAATTCCATAAATGGTAATTTTACCAAGAAAAAACTGGGATCTAATAGAACCCTGAATTCTTGGTAATTTTACCTTTTTCTTAGTAAATATACCGAGATTTTTTTTCAGTGTAGACCAAGTAAAAAATGGAACATGGTAATTGATTAAAAACTCGAGTTACGAGCCAAAAAAATAAACAAGTAATATCTCAATCTACATGTGGATGAGAAATAATATTAAACTTACAAGAAACAAAGCAAACGTTTCGACCGCCAAGAAACTGCGGTCTTCTTCAGTGCATGAGGAATACCAAGTGGAAACATTTTACAAAATAAAAAACAAATAAAAAAGCTACAAAACTATTAGCAGACTATGCGAAAATGTCGCCCGAAAGAAAGCTTGATTTTTCAATCAATTACCATGATCTGTACAGCTTAGCCAGCCAAATGCATTTTCAAAGAGCGCGATTGTCGCGTCAAGAGCCGAGAGCGTGAGTAGAAATGGGGCGAAACGTGCGATACAACTTTATCAACTTTGAAATAGGTAAAATTGCATTTCATCAAAATGAAGGAGAACTGAACTCTCCCTCGGCTGACTTAGAGATTTCAACGCAGAGTAGAAAAGTTGGATGGGGCCAAACACGAGATACTACTATTTTAACCTCCAAGAATATAAAATTGCATCTTCACAAAATGAAGGAGAACATGGTGTTCTATATCATCCCAACTATTCGGTTTGTCAACCCAAGTTTCAGGTCGTGTAACCGAAGGTTCGGTTACACTGATAAAAAATTAGTTTCATTCTCAGGAGGGAGCGTTCAACTCACTGATTTTTACCAAAACTTATGACGAGGATGTTGATATCTAGTTTTTATTGTATTGTTTAAAGAAAGTACCTTTTGATACTTGTCCTGAAAGGGGACATCCCGCCTGGTGCGTGATGTGCGGATTTAACGTGTGGGTTTTCTTTGCCTTGCAGAAAACATGATGGGGTGTTCAATGAACATTCAAAATAGGAACTTGGTGAGTCTTTCAACGAATTTGGAAAGGTAAGCAAACCAAATGCTGAAGTAAATGAAGGATCCAGTGCATGAACGTACTAAGTAACATTTCTTGAATTATAAAGAAGAAGAAAAAGAAAGAAAAAAAGCCTAATGGTAAAAAATTACCTGCATTTGAAGGGAGATGACAAATTCAATCTAATTTCATGAGTACCTATGAAAATTCCGTCTAATATTTCAAACGTTGCATGATGTACCCTGAGAATAACCCTAACCTCGAAATGGTCAAAATACCAACTTTTATGAAGCCAAAATGCACCAAAGAGCACGGGCCAAAGGAAGATTCTTTATTGGGACTTAAGGTGTATCTACAGCTGCGTGAAGTAAGAAATTTCTCCGCGCATGGGGCGCCATCGCTGTGTTTTAGAGTCCGTACAGCACCACGTGAGTCCTTGAGCTTTTATAAAAGTTGAAGGAATTTCTGTTTAAATCGAAGATAAATAAGTTCTAGCTATAACATTCTTCTTCCTATTGACCCTAAAAACAACGTGAAAAGTCATTTCTGAAGCTCTGCAATTTGATCCCAGAAAAAAGTAGGGTTAAGCATGATGACCTTGATGCAACCAATCGCGCTTGATCGCTCTCAGCAGTTGGCAGATATCTCTCTCCCACCGTGAGCTGTCTCTCTCGCACTTACAGATATCCCGTAAGAGAAACTGGGATCAATTTACAGCTTTTATTATTAGACTTTCAAAGCTCGCGTTTGTTTCTAAGGATTCCAGACGTATGCTGCTAGAACTTATGAGTCTTAGAATTTAAGATACCTATTGTGATATTTAAATAATCACTGATTTCGGAGTCGGATTTTAGCAGCGCGACGTGGTGGATTTTTTCGGAACTACAGCTGAAGATTAACCTTAAGATAAATCCCCCCCCCCCAAAAAAAAACCTTTCATAATATGAAAGTTAACGCTATAAATTCTTTTGGGTGGAGACTTTTTCGTCCTCTACAGAATTTTCCCAGGAAGAGAGACTTCAATGTCGTAGTACTCGACATTGAGGTATTAGCATTAATGGCGTGGCGTCCGTGACGTGCTTTACGATTTAGCGATTTATCTGCCATTTAAACCTATGGGGAAGGATCGATAGACAGGGTGTTCGCAACAAACACCTTAACAATCAATTTTTTACTATAGCTTCAAATGAGGAAATATCGATAATCGATCATTCACGCCTCCCCACTGATTAGCAATAGTATTGAAAATAATGTTCTACACACTTTTAGTTACAAAAAACCAACCTCAGTTTGTCCGTTTTGAAGCTTACATTTGAAAAGATGGAGCTTTGCGAGAAAAAGTGATTTAAGGTAGATACTTACTCTGCCACATGCATGCGGGAGCTCAAACTTTGTTTAAATGTAGCTTCCCGTGTGCTTTGGGCACAAAACCAAGCTGAATATACCTGCTTCACAAATGGAAAATTTGCATGCAATTTTTCATTGCTTCATCTGAAAGTGCTGAAAGAGCTGATTTTACAGTATTTATTATATTTTTTTCTGATATGGGGAAATAGTATAAAAATAGGTTTAAAAGTGAGAAAATGCACCGCCTAGTGACGTCATCTGGCGGCATTTCCCATTTAAACACATGTATTTTAGCAGATTAGATTATTTTGTCAAGTCTTCTCCAATAATTTATCAATTCATGAATCAATAGTATCCTCGTGTTCAGTTCTCTCAGTGTCTCAGTAGTTTCCACTTAAACACGAAATTCATCAAATTTCAGACACCTGCAAATTCTCTATTATGCATTCCCTGGTAAAAATTGGCAGTAGAATCTGTGTTCCAAAATACCATAGACCTACAGCCGACTTTAAGATTTCCAATAGCTTCTTTGACCGGCTACACAATTTCTTATCGCCTTTTACAGCCGATGGTGATTAAGCAACAGCCAGGCGATAAAGTGTATGCTAAACGCTACTAATTACGGATGCTAGGACATAGTGAGTTTTTGGACTACTGCTCTCTTTTTGGGCCGTAGTATCTTGATTTATTTTACGAGGAAAGCTCCGTACTTTCGAAGGATGCCTAATATGTTGGAGCGCCTTCAGTTTCGTGTGATACTGTGCAATACCTCTGGTGTGAAATAGTTGCTTCAAGCGCCGCGTCACGCTGCGGCGCGGCGCGGCGCGGCGGGCGGGTAGCCAGCGCTGAACGCGCATTGGTGCCTACAAACCTAACAGGGATACTTCACGCATTGCGCAATGCGTAAAGTATCCCTGTTAGGTTTGTAGGCTCCAGTGCGTCGCGCGTCGCCGCGCCGCTCCGCTCCGCTTTGTGTTAGGCTCTAATATTTAACCTGGCGGAGTCAGCGTTATTCAACTCTTGATTTTGAAATGTTTGCACATCCTGTATCGATTATTCTCATTTTAATTGATGAAAAAAAATATGCATTAAAGGAAAATATAATGTGTGTTTTGTAAATATTAAGGTGGTTCCGTATCAAACTTAAGGTTTTACAAAGCACAAGAATTTCTACACAATTTCTCATAGCCTTTTATAGCCGATGGCGAAAAAGCAACAGCCAGACGATAAAGTGTAAAGCCCGGCGATAGGAACTATAGCCCGGCTGTATAATTTTTTATCGCTTCGTGTAGCCTCGCCGTATGATTTTTTCCACTTTCTACAGCCAGCTATATGATTTTCTATCGCCCTCTTCAGTCGGCTATAAGAACTCCTACGGTATTTTGAAACGCAGCTCTTATCGCCGATTTTTACCAGGGTTTGAATATTTGAAACAAATATTGTGTGTTCACAGATCTACGGAGATGTGTTTTGAAAAGTCGTTCAGTTTTATGTGGTGGTCCGACACGATTTACTCCCTCTTCGGAAAGAAGAAGCGCTTACTTGAGGCTGTCAAGGGTATGCGAGATCTTGCGCATCAGGTGAGTCCACGAATTGTTTTTACTGGCGATCATGAAGCTCATGAATGTATACTTGCTTGCAAAAGATCAAACGCTTCTCTCAGCATGGCATGACTTCACTGCACACATAATCTTGGTCAATTGGTCATAATTGAAAACTATTAAAAAACCACCCAACTGGTCAGAAAAATAAAAATGGTGTAAATAAACAGACTATAAGTAAACTATCGAAATGCGATTTTTCATCATTCCGAACGATAGAGGCTGTCCTGAAAAATAAAATGTGAAAAGTGAAAACGGAAAAATAATTTGAAACAGCGAAACGTTCGATAGGCATAATACCTAGCGTCGTGAAAAGTTCAAAACTCACCATTGCAGAATTAACGGGTTTTCATTATCTACGTATTACTCTATGTTGCAGATGTTACAGCAAAAATTAGAATCGGAAAATATTACGAAGTTGAGCACACTACCATTGGGTAAGTTGCGAGAAAGAGGCATCCATATTATATATTGTATGTTACTGTGTTCGCATTACAGATTCGTCAGTGTTACAAAATGTGACAAGAGTAGGTGAGGTGATTACGGAGAGAGTCGGAAAGATATAAAGAGTAGTCCATCGCCAAAAAGGTTGGAGAAGTTAGACCGCGTTAAGCAGAGAGGAACCAAACCACAACAGCTACTGACAAAATCAACTGGGCAGTTTCATTTTTTACAAGAAAACGTCTTGTGCAAATTTGTGTGCAAATTTCAATGAATTTACTGAATCAAGTGAAGAAAATTACATACGAGTTTCAAAGGTTTCCGCGATACGCTCTTTGAGAAACATTTAAATTCCTCCGTCTTGGAAAAATAGCTGATGATCTTTCTGCTGAACGCGGTAAAAATATAAAATTCAATCTTCTTCAGCCGAATCGAATCTTTACCTTGGCACGGATGGCACCCTATCGGGCAGAGCGGCTATCAAGTGTTTTCGTCACCGGCCATACCATGTTGAAAGCACCGGTTCTCGTCCGATCACCGAAGTTAAGCAACGTCGGGCGTAGTTAGTATTTAGATGGGAGACCGCTTGGGAACACTGCGTGCTGTTGACTTTTTTATTTCGTTCCAAAATGTGTAATAGTGCCGAAAATGAAAATAAAAAATAGAGCAATTTCCAGCCAATCAAATTTTTGACACATTTTTTGGTTCTCCGATGAAGTATCAAGCAATGATTACTTCCCTACAATTTTCAGGATCGAGCCTCGGATCATTTCGGCATCCTATCAGGCAGAGCGACGATCAGGTGTTTTCGTCAACGGCCATACCACGTTGAAAGCACCGGTTCTCGTCCGATCACCGAAGTTAAGCAACGTCGGGCGTAGTTAGTACTTAGATGGGAGACCGCTTGGGAACACTGCGTGCCGTTGACTTTTTTATTTCGTTCCAAAATGTGTAATAGTGCCGAAAATGAAAATAAATAGTAGAGCAATTTCCAGCCAATCAAATTTTTATAACAATTATAACAAAAATAGCACTACCTAATGGTGTCGTAGTGCACCTTCAATGCTTCCTCAAATTTGCGATCGTATTTTTAAAACTTGGAATTTTAACGTTCTTTTTAGATTCATGCAGTGGGTTGGAGGATGTCGAGAAAGAGAGTCTCTCTACTTTCATGGACTTGCTGTTAGACAACATAAAATTAGGCGCTATAACAAAAGACCAGGCTGTTGAAGAAATAGTCGAAATGTTCATAGCCGTAAGTATATGAAATAAATGGCGCAATGCGTTCGTTCGTCCTCTTACTAAACAGGGTGAGCGAAAAGTCCCCGACCCCCCCCCCCCCTAACTTTTGAACGAATTGAGCTAAGGAAATGAAACTTTGGGAATGTTCCTATCTCAAAGGGGACCATCTTTTGAGGGGGTCAAAATTTTGGTCCCCCCCTCAGGGGGGGACAGGGGCCCCCCAACTTTTTTTTTCAAATAGCAACCCCTATCTTGTGATACCTCATTCGAAAGAGCATGAAAAACTAAGAATTTTGGCGCAAACCGCAGATCAATATCTCAATTTTTGACCGAGTTATGATAGGTCAAAGGTCAAATTTGACCTATTTTCAAAAAATCATAACTCCGGTTCAAATTATCGTAAAGAAAAAAATAAAACGGGAAAATTTACCAAATTGTGTTCGCTTTTACGTAAAAATTGCAGAAATCACTTCGATTTAATTTTAAGGTGGGGCTCGGACCCCCAAATACGTCAATTCAAAGGTCATTCAATTTTCCTGCGAAATAAGCCAATTTCCTCTGGATTTGCCTCCACATTATCTCAGTAAGGTCAAAATCAGTTCAACATTACGTTGGCAAGTCCCCAAATTTCGGGAAAAGTTAAAAAAACGAAATTTAAGGTGATTAAATTTGACCGTTTAAATTTCGTTTTTTTAACTTTTCCCGAAATTTGGGGACTTGCCAACGTAATGTTGAACTGATTTTGACCTTACTGAGATAATGTGGAGGCAAATCCAGAGGAAATTGGCTTATTTCGCAGGAAAATTGAATGACCTTTGAATTGACGTATTTGGGGGTCCGAGCCCCACCTTAAAATTAAATCGAAGTGATTTCTGCAATTTTTACGTAAAAGCGAACACAATTTGGTAAATTTTCCCGTTTTATTTTTTTCTTTACGATAATTTGAACCGGAGTTATGATTTTTTGAAAATAGGTCAAATTTGACCTTTGACCTATCATAACTTGGTCAAAAATTGAGATATTGATCTGCGGTTTGCGCCAAAATTCTTAGTTTTTCATGCTCTTTCGAATGAGGTATCACAAGATAGGGGTTGCTATTTGAAAAAAAAAAGTTGGGGGGGACCAAAATTTTGACCCCCTCAAAAGATGGTCCCCTTTGAGATAGGAACATTCCCAAAGTTTCATTTCCTTAGCTCAATTCGTCCAAAAGTTAGAGGGGGGGTCGGGGACTTTTCGCTCACCCTGAATATTACTCATGAAAAGAAACCTAGATGAAGCTTGAACAATAATGACGACTTTAGGACCGCGTTTGGCAGAAAGGAACCGAGCCACTTCAGCTCCCTGGTAAAAATTGGCAGTAGAATCTGTGTTCCAAAATACCATAGACTTACAGCCGGCTGTCAGATTTCCAAGAGCTTCTATAGCCCGCAACACAATTTCTTATAGCTTTTTATAGCTGATGGCGATGAAGCAACGCAGCCTGGCGGTAAAGTGTATGCTAAACGTTACACTTGCGGATGCTAGGACTTAGTGAGTTTTTGGACTACCGCTCTCTTTTTGGGCCGTAGTATCTTGATTTAATTTGCGAGGAAAGCTCCGTACTTTTGAAGGATTCCTGCCATTCCTAATATGTTGGAGCGCCTTCAATTTCGTATGATACTGTGCAATACCTCTGGTGTGAAATAGTTGCTTCAAGCGCCGCGTCACGCTGCGGCGCGGCGCGGCGCGGCGGGCGGGTAGCCAGCGCTGAACGCGCATTGGCGCCTACAAACCTAATAGGGATACTCCATGCATTGCGCAATGCGTGAAGTATCCCTGTTAGGTTTGTAGGCGCCAGTGCGCCGCCGCTCCGCTTTGTGTTAAGCTCTAATATTTAATCTCGCGGAGTCAGCGTTTTTCAACTCATGACTTTGAAATGTTTGCACAGTCTGTATGGATTATTCTCATTTTAATTGATGAAAAAAAATATGTAGTAAAGGAAAATATAATGTGTGTTTTGTAAATATTAAGGTGGTTCCGTATCAAACTTAAGGTTTTACAAAGCACAAGAATTTCTACACAATTTCTCATAGCCTTTTATAGCCGATGGCGAAAAAGCAACAGCCAGACGATAAAGTGTAAAGCCCGGCGATAGGAACTATAGCCCGGCTGTATAATTTTTTATCGCTTCGTGTAGCCTCGCCGTATGATTTTTTCCACTTTCTACAGCCAGATATATGAGATTCTATCGCCCTCTTCAGTCGGCTATAAGAACTCCTATGGTATTTTGAAACGCAGCTCCTATCGCCAATTTTTACCAGGGGTATTGCCAAATTCAACTGGGCAATTTAATTTTTGGAAAAATTCAAGGAATTTTCACCGTGCTATGCAAAAAATTCATTGAAATTTGCAAAAACGTCCGCACAAACGTTTTCATGTAAAAAATGAAATGGCCCGATTAAATCAGGCAATAGCCTATGTGGCTTGGCTCATTTCTATTTAACACGGTCCTAATAGTCTTTTGATGAATTATTGATTTGAAAATTTTAAAAAATATTGAAACCAATAGCTCTCTAACTCCGCAAATTTATTTATTTATTGATGTAATAATATGCATCTATCCAGCCGATCTCCGATATATGTCGGCTATTTATAGATATTATAATCTCTAGTCGAGCCGCCGCTTAGTGGATCGAGTCAATTAGAGAGGTCGGACATGAAATTTTTGACTATGACTGCAAATGTTGATGTTTATTTCGTCACATTTTAGATTACAAGGGGTGTTTCTGAAAGAAAATTTTACGAGAAAACCAATGGAACCACTTTTAGAACCTCAAAATGTTGTATAAACGGAGTAATGAGCTTTTGAAGTTTCCAAATTTTGTCCGAACTCGTCCATTGATTCGATCCATTGTGCGCCGCGCTGTCGAGATTCGCCATTGAGATCCGTGGTATAGCAGTTTTACACAGAGTACAATAGAGTCGCATTGTACTGTAGCGCAGATGAAGTAGCTTTTTGAGACTGTTTTGTCCAGGACTTCTGAGACTAGTGTGCGGCGATTAGCGGTACTATATCCGCGGGGTCCGAGCTCCGGGGTCCGCTCAGAAAATACAGGTATAAAATTGATCTCATTAAAACCGGGAGTTTCGTACATTTTTTAATTTGCTGTGATATTGGTCAATATAATTTGCCAAAATTCGCGAACATAGTTATTGATTTAAAATAATACATCCCAAAAACCACTCCTAGCCCGCGATTCTCTCATAAGCCGCCGTGTTACAAAATGCCGTCGGGTTCACACTTGGACCGCGTTAAACAGAAAGGAACCAAGGCACATCAGCTATTGCCAAATTTAATTGGCTAATTTAATTTTTTACATGAAAACAGTTGTACGGATTTTCGTGCAAATTTCAGTAAATTTTCTCCATAATACGAAGCAAATTCCTCAACATTTTCAAAGGGATCCGCACAAACGTTTTCTCGTAAAAAATTAAATTGCCCAGTTAAAATTGGCAATAGCTGATGTGGCTCGGTCCCCTTCTGTTAAACGCGGTCCACTTGATTCACACTTTCCGGCGAAAACAAGGGGCTAGAAATGGCCCGTTCATGGATTGACTTCATTGGCGCTCCAGTACATTGCGACTCTATTGTACTCTATGCAGTTTCATAATCGAATTATTTTGTCTGTATTCAGGGTTCGATTACGACAGCAACAACGGTTGCATGGATGACGAAAATCCTTGCCACGCGACCGGACATCCAGGCCCAACTCCACGAGGAGATTCACAGGGTCCAAAAGATGACAGAGACTGATACAAATCAAGAGGATCTTATCACTTTGGGACAGCTATCTCAGTTCCAGTATTTGGATATGGTCGTCAAAGAAACTCTCCGCCACGTCACTGTTCCTTTTGTCCTTCGGCATCTTAGCCAGGATCTCACTCTTGAAGGTAACCACTGGCCACGTCATGTTCGCGGCCAGCGCGACACGTGCATTGGCGCCTACAAACCTAAGTGGATACTTCAAGCGTTGCGCAATGCGTGAAGTATCCCTGTTAGGTTTGTAGGCGCCGGTGAGCCTCTCGCGCTGGCAGCACGCCGCTCTGCTCTGTTTGACTCTAATATTTAAACTCGCAGTCAGCGTTTTTCAACTCGTGATTCTTGACTTCGCTACGTCACTGTTCCTTTTGTCATTCGGCATCTTAGCCAGGATCTCACTCTTGAAGGTAACCACTGGCCACGTCATGTTCGCGGCCAGCGCGACACGTGCATTGGCGCCTACAAACCTAAGTGGATACTTCAAGTGTTGCGCAATGCGTGAAGTATCCCTGTTAGGTTTGTAGGCGTCGGTGAGCCTCTCGCGCTGGCAGCACGCCGCTCTGCTCTGTTTGGCTCTAGTATTTAAACTCGCAGTCAGCGTTTTTCAACTCGTGATTCTTGACTTCGCTACGTCACTGTTCCTTTTGTCATTTTGGCATCTTAGCCAGGATCTCACTCTTGAAGGTAACCACTGGCCACGTCATGTTCGCGGCCAGCGCGACACGTGCATTGGCGCCTACAAACCTAATTGGATACTTCAAGCGTTGCGCAATGCGTGAAGTATCCCTGTTAGGTTTGTAGGCGCCGGTGAGCCTCTCGCGCTGCGCGCTGGCAGCACGCCGCTCTGTTCTGTTTGACTCGAATATTTAAACTCGCAGTCAGCGTTTTTCAACTCATGATTCTTGACTTCGCTACGTCACTGTTCCTTTTGTCATTCGGCATCTTAGCCAGGATCTCACTCTTGAAGGTAACCACTGGCCACGTCATGTTCGCGGCCAGCGCGACACGTGCATTGGCGCCTACAAACCTAAGTGGATACTTCAAGTGTTGCGCAATGCGTGAAGTATCCCTGTTAGGTTTGTAGGCGTCGGTGAGCCTCTCGCGCTGGCAGCACGCCGCTCTGCTCTGTTTGGCTCTAGTACTTAAACTCGCAGTCAGCGTTTTTCAACTCATGATTCTTGACTTCTCTACGTCACTGTTCCTTTTGTCATTCGGCATCTTAGCCAGGATCTCACTCTTGAAGGTAACCACTGGAGAGGCTCCAACTGACTTTCGTTTTTTAGAGAACTGTACTCGAAGCAAAGAGAAAACAAGAGCCCTAAAACAAATTGTAGGCCGGGTGGCACCCCCTATTTTTACGAGTCTTCTCTGATTGGATGATTTGTCCCGCCAATTTTCCAAACGATTGTTGCCTACTTCTGCCGTGATAGCGAAGAGAGAAGTATAAATATCAAATTTTCGAAATCGAGTTTCCTTCAAAATTCGTTTAAACTCCTTTGGATGAAATCACTGAAATTTATAAAACAACGAAACTAATCTTATTTTCATGAAAATGAGACATATAACTATGAGAAATCCGTAATTGCGCAAAAAATGACGTAGTTTTAGTCAGGACAACAGCAAGTGACAATATTCCTCCAGACAGCCAATGAAAACAGTGCTTCCAAGTAAAGTGCCGCCATCTTCTGCCAATTCCTAACTTGAAAGTGTGTTTGTTGTGTATCCAAAACGCAACCATGAAAGTATGCAGAAGATAGCACTTACGGCTGTCTTGCCGAACAATAATCTAGTATGAAAATGAAAAGTTTGACACATACTACTCTCTTCGTTATCACGGCAGTAATGCGATCACGGCAGTATGTATATTGACCATACTGTCGTGATTCGAAAAGGACGCCGCGCTTTTTTCCCTCAAATCGTCGCTTCTCTGACGTAAGAGCGCATCTAGATCTCCGCATGAGACTCAAAAAACATTGATTTATATGTAAAATAGGGCTCAAGTGGAAATTAAGATACGCCCTTACGTCAGAGGGGCGACGAAATGTGCGGTAGTGGCAGTGGTGCACTCGTGTGCTCAAAGTGAAATCAGAGTCGGCCAGGGTTAGGTACGTCGTACAAGCAACTAAACTAGGGGGAACGGCAAAGCCTAGGGTATCACGGTGAAATGAAGGCGCTCTAAGCTGAGATCGTGCTCCTGAAGTCCTTTACTGATGAAACCTCTTACATGCTGATGATAAATTTTCGACGATTACCTACTGATTGCCTGCGAAATATCGATTAATTCCTGGTATGGAGTCAAGAAATCTTAAACATGCTCATTCCCTGTTTTCCCCCTGATTTTCTGGAGTTTATCCCCTGATGAGAAACCAAAGTATATCTCCCACTTCCCCAGAATTTTCTTGGGATAAGCTGTCGAATGTTTTTCATCTCTCAACCGATTTTTTGGCGCACATTTTTAATTCCAAAAGTTTTCCTGATGATGTTTACATTATTCTGGTCAATTAAAGCTTCTCCTGTTATTATGATGATTTGAAGATTCAAATATATTATTCAAGAGGTTAATAACGGCGGCTTAGGTGTAATACTATGCACCTAAGTGACGACAGAAACTAAAAATGTTCACAAACTTTAAAAACGAAATGGTCTCTAAGCGGTAGAGGACGAGATTTCTGGAATAGATTCCCTGATTTTTCTCTGATTTCCCTGAAACGTTTCATTCCCTTATCAATCCTGGTTTTTCCCGGTCCTACACACTACCTATGCTTTCTACGCCTCACCTCATCTATCTCTTGAAAAAAATGTAGGCCCTAATAGCGAGAAAAAACTCAGAGCAGATTCAGGGAAAAAAGTTATAGGACATTTCATCAACGATTTTTATTTGCGCACCTGTTTTTTCCAGTAGTTTACGTCCACGCGTTTTTTCGGCACCGGAGTTACCCACACACCAGTTGAGACCCTAAGTTAATTGGTCCACATGTACATACAAACGACGATTGCTCACGACGTTTTTGAATGGAAATGTACCGAAAATTTATAATGTCTTGGAAGAATGTGGGTTTGCTTGTTTTTTTTTTTGTTTGTTTGGTCCAACGGAGAATAATATATAAGTGAGCTTTTTGGTAAAAAATGGGGGAGTGTCAATTCCATTACACAAAATTCACTAAAACTCTGTACATCTCTTTGGTGCAACAGAAAAAAAATTAAACCCCTCACTGCTCAACTGCTCAACTGCTCATTATCTTTCAAGAAATTCCCACCTTGTTATACCTGAACCGGATGAACCTTTTGCTTTGCCTCAGCTAAAGGCTCTTAGATTTTTCCTGTGTGGGTACGATAAGTTTCTTGATTTAATTTGTGAGGAAAGCTCCGTACTTTTAAAGGATACCTTTCATTCTTAATATGTTGGAGTGCCTCCAATTTTGTATGATACTGACCAACACCTCTGTTGTGAAATAGTTGCTTGAGGCGGCACGGCGGGCGGGCGGCCAACGCGAGACGCGCATTGGCGCCTACAAACCTAAGTGGATACTTCAAGCATTGCGCAATGCGTGAAGTATCCACTTAGGTTTGTAGGCGCCGGTGAGCCTCTTGCGCCGGCAGCACGCCTCTCCGCTTTGTTTCGCTCTAATATTTAAACTCGCAGTCAGCGTCTTTCAACTCATGATTTTGAAATGTTTGCACACTCTGCATGAATTATTCTCATTTAAATTGATGGAAAAAAAATATGCATCAAAGGAGAATGTAAAGTGTGTTTAAAATATTAAGGTGGCTCCGTGTCAAATTTAATTATTTCCAAAGCATTTCAATTTTTTCTTTTATATTTTGTGCTTTTACTGTGCTGCAGCGTGGTGCACGTGCAACAACATGCTCAAAATTGGACGTACTTGACCCTAAAAGATCGATGTACAAATGAGTTAAAACTAAAGATTGTGTGCTTTATAGTTTTTTTCCCTCTTTCATTCATTATTCTGTACAGTTTCTTTGAACACAACTACGGCTCATTGAGATTAATGGGGCCGTCCCTGAATTACTTAACGCTTTTGGGGGAGGGGGTGGGGGTCAAGGAGAGCGGTACGCCATTTTGTTTTTACGTGTGAAAGGATAGGGACCTACGCCACGAAAGCGTTATCGGTGGGAGGGGGAGGATCAACAATGCCGAAAAAGTGCGTTACGTAATTGAGGGAGGCCCCTAGGACCATCATGCTGTGTGTTGTCAGTTATGTAATAAGTACCTACTTCGCAATACTGCCGTGCTAAGGAAGAACGCCGTATGAGCCTTTAGGCGTTGCTAAATTTCCTTTGATAAATCACATATTTCCGGGAATAATTACAAACATTTTTCTTTCGAATTTTTAGGGAATTTCGTTCGTAATTAGATCTAAATAGCCTAACAATTTCAACGAAAAATATTGATGACTTTTCTAAAAAATAAACATTTTATCAGAGGAAATTTGGCAACTCTGGAATGTTCATACGACGTTTATCCTCAGCAAGGCAGAATAAGAAATAGAGTGTGATTTTACTCCTCAGATGGAAGAGTCCTACCAGCTGGTTTGCGTGTGATGCTGAATACTTTCAGCTTGCATCATGATCCAGAGTATTGGGAACAACCTAGCGAGTTCTACCCATCGCACTTTTCGCCCGAGAAAGAGACCGCTCGCCCGAAAGGCGTTTTTCTCCCATTCATGTGCGGACCGCGGATTTGTCCAGGTAATCACGAATCACGGATCGATGGTAGAACTGTGAAATCACAATGAGGGGCTTGGAGGACATGACGCTTGAATGCAGTTTTTTTTTAAAAGAATTGAGCTATTACCCAAGTACCTAGCACACTGGATTGCAATAAGGAGCAAAGCAATTACGTATTAAAAATATTGCAATTCAACTAAGTGTTGTGTATGTTGCATAGCTCCCATTTGAAGGAGCCCCATTTATTGAAACTTGCTGCAATAAAATTGAAAGTTGCAATTTTTCATTGCATTGCATATTGCCTATCTTTCCGACACATTGAGTTCGTTTTGTTGATTGTATAAAATCGACAAAATCGACTAAATGTAAAAATATTGCAATTTAACGGTAAAACAATTAAAATTTTTTTGAAATCAAGCTGCAATTTAATTTCAATATTTTCGTTGCACTGTGCTACTTTGGATAATAATTTCAAGTAAAACTAGTCTCAATGCATATTCTGTGAAAAATTCGCTCCCAAATTCCAATTTTTATGCATCCAAAATTCAGTTTCCGCCATTGGGATCCAGGTAATTTAGAAACTGCGAACACGTATGCCTTGAAATAGCAAAAACTGCACTTACGCACCTTGCCCTCCAAGCCCCTCAATTATGTTTCATTTTTTTAACTAACTAAAATACCTCTTTGAAATGTCCTGTGAATGCTATTGAGCATATGCAAAAAATTTCAAGGAAACGTCCGTTGGATAGGATACTTAGAGCCAATAAAAATTAACGGAGATTTGCAACGTCGCAAATGCGAGGTACGCATTTTCGACTTAATTCATCGATGTTCGGAGCCGCGGATCCTTTGAATAGCGATCGCATTGTCAAATTATTGGAATTTTATTGAGGGCAGTTTATGATAAGAAGTTGAAGTTGCTGTAATATTACTAATTAAATTTTGAATCTTTATGATTGCGATTGCATGTTGCCTATTTATCCAATTCAAGGCGCTAAAATTATCATAACATCACAAAATAAAGTCACAATTTTTGGATTGGTTGCGTGTTGCCTATTCTACCGATTCCGAGCGCAGAACCTATCTACAAAAATGGAACATGGCGATTTTTGACGTTATTTTTAAAATTAATTGACGTGTAGTGAAAATTTACCATCATTCATGTGTAAATTTTCTTTACTTGAACCCATTAATTGCTTCCAATGCAAATGGGTCTTCCTTTGCAATAAATTTTTCCTTCCATGGGAGAATGCATACATACTAATAAATTGTTGAAATTTTTCAGGAAATAAATACGCCACGCAGTCGATAAAATTGCTGATGGCCAGCATGATTAAAAAATATGAATTCTTCACCGAGGAGAAACCCTGCCAGGATTTTCTGGAGGAAGAGTATCGCATCATGTTCATGCTGTGGCCTACATCAGGATTCAATGTCCAGATAAAGAATCGCTCTAAGACTGTCAGAATCGCACAAAATGGCTGAACTTCATTCCTAAATTATTGTGTTAAGTCACTTCATTCCTAACTTATTGTGTTAAGTCACTTCATTCCTAAATTATTGTGTTAGTGTTAAGTCATAATTTTAAAGATACCAACACATCATCTAGGATATGATATGGATGTGAGGAAAATTTTTGTCAAATATTGACCGAAAATGAAAGATGGTTTTACATCTAATGCGGAAGCAAAAGAGCTGGAAATTTTCAGCTGCAACATAATGCAGGTAGGTATTGTGCAGGCACAAAGAAGGAATATTAATTTGATGAAATTCCCTTCTATGCTGTGTTTTATGAAATTTGACTTCAAAGAGAAAATTCAAAACAATTACATACTTTATTTTTTTTTTTTTTTTTTTTTTTTTTTTTTTTTTTTTTTTTTTTTTTTTTTTTTTGTGAGTGTTGCACAAGAGGGTTTTAAAATATCCAAATAACACTCAGATCCGTAGAAACTTTTTGCTAACAACAAAACTGCACAAGAAAAATGTGGAAGAAATTTGGAAGAGCTTAGTGAAACTAGAAAAATTATTGAATATCAATGCAAGAGCAAATTTTATGCCTCTTTTTTATTTTAATTCTCATTTTCATATTCAAAAAAATTTTTAAGGCAGGAATTTTGTAACTCTACAAACAAAACAAAAAAAAATTAATAAAAACAATAATTTGAAAAGTAAGTACTATTTTCATCAGGAGTTATAAAAGACTGAAATCTTCCCTCTAAAATAGCTTCTTTAGCTTGTGGAGCTACAAAAAATGGTTAACTTTAAGAAAAGTATGCCTTTAACAGCCACAGAAATGGTTAATCAGCTCAAAATTTCAAAAGGATCTTTTCAAATTTTTCTCCTTGAGAAATGAGACTNGGGGGGGGGGGGGGGTGTCCAAAACAACATTCAGTTACTGAGGCAAGAAATTCTTAAGAGGCAGGTTTGTGTGGAGCAAAATTCTTCACCCTACTAAAAGGCAGGAGTCCATGAGTCTGTTCGAAGAAGTTCACCTGCAAAAGAAGATCAATGAATGAAAATGGGAGGAGTTGATCTAAACATAAAAAACTGCAATTCTTCAATATTAAGAACAAGACTTTTATTCCTGGCTTAAAATAAATTAGTGTTACATTCGTTTTTTCGTACAAGTTAAACAGAATGAAAAGTAGTGGGTACTAAAAAATATTACTTCTATCAAGTAAGAAAATGTACATGCCTAGCGAATTTTCAGCTCTGACAAGAACAAGAAACATCTCAATGACTATGCTGCAGAAATCGAAGGTCAAAGAGAAAACAGTACAAAAGAATTTTGGATTCAAGCACAGTGGTTTGCTCTCTAATGAAGGCAAGTCCTAATTTCACATCGGAGAGTTGCCACGGAGTTACAATTGTGCTACCGTGTGCTGCTAATTATCGTGTCAGAAATGATCAAATATGTATTCAATGGAGAGACTTGAGTATAAATTAGAATCAGTAAAAACAATGTAATGGTTGATAGAGGGGGAAAAAAACATTTAAAAAATTTCCATCACTGAGTCGAGCAAAAAAAAAACCACACACACATGGGAAACCCATGGTGTCTTATTTCTATTTAATGCCGCCTTTTTTATCCCTTTCCTTTGATTCCAGTTTTTGTAAATATCTATGTCATTACAACCCCTCTAGGATTCATGTCTTCTTCTTAGGTTTTACAAGACTTAAAATAAAAAACAAAGCCTCCTCCCTGATCGAGAATCAAGTACATCAATTTCATTCTTCAAACAGGATTAAAATTTTCTTCGTGATGTTGGTGCTTATTTTAGATGCTAAATGATGAATGTCTGATCTGTAATTTAAACGTTTAAAAAGAAAAAAGATACTGGTAAAAATTGAATAAAATTAGATAAGTACCTGAAGTAATTAGAGCTGTCATTAGTCCTGATTTATTGTTCTTCTTATCTTTCCCCCAGTTCCCTCGCATTTTTTTTCTCTCTCAGGAAAAAAGACTTGCATTAAGAAAAAATAGAATTAAATTCACAGAGTTGCAGAAGATTTGGTCAAAAGTAAGTTAAATAATTAACATCATAATTTTTCCAAAAAAATTGAAATTTACTTTTTGGATAAAAAGTTGATGTAGGTGAGACCAAAGACTTTGGAATACATCAGGGCTGCAATGTCAGCCAAAATCTCCAGAAAAATTAATCTCGAACCTTGAAAATATGACTGGAACTACCAAATTATCAAAATACTCGGTTTTTAGCCAAACATCTTCCAGTCCTAATAATTGTGGCTAAATATGGCACTTATTTTAAAGGTTCTTGAAAAATTTAAGTGAAAGGAGTGTTTTGCATGGAAAGGTGAGTGGCTGTAGTTACACAAATTTGTTTATTTTCTTGAAACGTTTATGCACCTGCTTTTGGCATAGAGTACGTAATAATGTCTCTAATGCTCTAAAGGGCTGCACTGTAAAGTTTTTTTTCACACAAAAATAGTTTTGCATTCAAGAGCTTGATGAGTTGGCCAATTCTAATTGTAGTGCTCAAGTAAACAAAAAGGTTACGTGACTGATTGATAAGGATTGAGCTACAAAAAACGACGTAAAGTAGTTTGAGACCGCAAATTCGTGAAACATTCGTCCTTAGCAATCTATATTTACTGGTGTACTGTTCTGTGAGTCATATTAAACTTCAATGATTAAGAATGATCACTTATAAGCGAAGGCTTTGTACGGTCCCTAAAGAGGAACTGGGATATTGTAGGGAATACTGGTTCACACAGGTAGATGAGTATCAAAAGAAAAGAATAAAATATTGGTAAAAAAATTGATCTACCTTGCAAAAAGTTAGTTTAACAATGATTATAACTGTCCGATCTAATAGTTGTAGATAACTGCATTACTTTTAAAAAAGAGATAAATGCTTGTTCTTATTCTGTCAATTTCATTGAATTTCTTGGAAGTAAGAGGTGACATACACTTGCACGAACACTCACAATTTTGTCTAAAATTGTGAACTTAATATAATACTGAAAAAGTTGCACTGGAGTTGTGAGGGGGCTGGTCCCTCAACTTTTGTAACAGTTCACTTAATCTCTCTTAATAATTTGAAAATGCATGAGTATTTCTCCCAAATCAGCCCCTGGGAGTAAGGTACAAGAAGGAACTGTACCATTTAAAAACGAATTATTGAAGAAACTTTTTACGGTAAGAATTAATGGGGCTGTCAAAAAAATTGTTTTTGGAAAGTGCGTCAGAAATCAAAAGTGTCTTTTTATTTTTACTATTTTTGATTTGATAAAATTGAAGTTGAAAAAACATCTAACGGAGACACCAAAAATTTAACCCTGTTCAAACAGATATAAAATCTCACCAATAGATTTCCGGAGGTAATATAGACTATTGATCGCTGTGTCAGTCTCCAGTATGATACTGTTGACATTACAGAACATTCCACCATTTGAGGTTCTGTGTTGCGACTGAGACAATTTATATGCAACTATATTATCCTTAGGTATAAAAACAATTTTAAGCTTTCCAAGGTGGAAAACGCATTTGTAATTAAAAATTGATAAGGACCTACATACTTTTAAAGCGATTTTCCCATGACACGACAGTCCCACTTAGACAGTTTCAAATTTTTTTCTGAAATGTTATTATTGATACTTACTGAGGTATTTTTTCTGAAATGTTATTATTGATACTTACTGAGGTAATAAATGCTGTGAACTCCACTACAATTCACTTGGCGTAAAGTAATGATTGTAAAAGTTTTCGAAAGAGACTGGCGCAAAAGTAATTAGTTCATCTTCATAGTTCAGCTCAAAATGTATTAAGGGGATGATTGCTTCAGTTTGTCGATTGAGCAACTATCAAGTAAGAGCTAACTAAACATATGTATTCCAAACAAAAGAGATTTTAATCTCATTTTTTCACAGAAAAAAAAGGTAATAGGAAGTAAAGACTCTAATAAATTACTGAAAGTCGGTAGCCATAAAAACAAAGGGGGCCACAAGTGCTTGAAGTAAGTATTAAAATTTTATGATATACATGAAATCCAAATTAATGTATCTCTTTTGGGACAATTCAATTTTTTTAAAAATATTTAAATTGGTAGAAAAAATCATATTAATATTAGGAAAAGAAATTTTGACAAGTTCAAAATTCTATTTTTTGGGCCATTCCATGGTCTTCCAGAAAAATTTTGAATGATAACTTTGATTTGTGTCCGTGTAAAAAAAAGAAAAAAAAAATTAGATGAAGGATGGAAAAAAAAATTGGAAAAAAAACATCAGCCCTTTTGACCCTGGCAACGTCCCTGTTCAAAATCTATGGAGGTCAAGTTAACATTTCACCAAAGTAATTTCATGTTTCTGAGATATTTTCATAGGAAACTAATTCATCAAAATTAGTTTATTCCAGACCTATGTAAGGTATCATTAAAGAAAATTTGATTATGACATTTTTCAGACGACTTTAATAAAACTGATTCAGATATTTCAATTTCAAAGCAGAGAGGATTTGCAAAACTCAGGTGAGCAAAGATTTCAAAGTTGTTCCAAAAAATTTCAAGACCGAACTCTCTGAAATATACCTACCAAACAAGCTGCAAAAGGACTGTCATAAAAATGTCTCATCGAAATTAAAATATTAATTTATCAACATGGCGGCAAAACTCTGAACTGAAGTCTGCAGATGCACCTTGAGCATTAATTCATAGTAATTTTCATCCGAGAGATATTTGGATTCTTTTGTGAAAGAGACAATTGAAGAGTCTAGAGAACATAAACGGTATTGCAAACTGGGCTTCTTGTCTTCTCAGAGAATGCTCCTTTTCTTGGCACGTTTTTGTCCTATTTAGAGATAGAAAATTTATGATGGCCTAAATAGCAGTATATCACATTTTTATGGTGAAACTATAAAACCACATATCTCAGTTGGCAACATAGCAGAATTCTTATCACATTTGAATTTCTGAAGGATGACTGTAATCATCATTTTTGCACGAGTTTTTTATTTATTTTTCTTTACATTGTCATATTCTCAGACGATTTTGTTTTCAAAAATTCTAGTACCATTCCTTCAGAAAAGTAACGCAGATACAGAAATTTTGCAACAGCAATTGAGAAACGTATTTTTGTAGTTTTACGGTCCATTTCTTCTGGACTCAAGAAATGTAAAAAGATTTCCTAGCGGAGAAGTTAAGGAGCAGTTAAAAGAAGGCCCCAAAATTGAGTGCACTATTTATTTACAAATTACATACAAAAAAAAAACATTAAGTTTAAGTTCAACAACACAGCTCTGTCATTATGGCAATTCCTTGGTTCAAAACACATGTGTGGCAACAGCATGATGGGATGTCATTCAGTAGAGTGGATTTACCTGCAGAGGAAATTTTAAAAAAAACAACATGTTAGTCCATTTCAGTGCTTTGGTACATGCGTTTTATTTTCGAAACTACCTTTGTAGATAGTTCCATTCTACTTTATGGTATCCAATGGAGGCTTAAGTGAGCAAGACTTGACATCTTTAATTTTCCTGAAAATGTATTTCTCGGCGTTAGCAGTCTTATAATTGAAGTTTGAATAAGAAAAAAACAAGAAAATTTTGTCAAATTATAGGTCACTCGAAAATTCTCATTACATTCCGCTTCTCACGAGCATATTGGGTTAAATATTTTGAAGTCATTGAATGATGGATCTTTAAGCTAAATGTATATCAAGATGAAAAATGTTTTGAAACACTGAACACATTTTGCTTGACAGTAGGTTTCACTTAAAATATTTAGTAAAGGAACCACTGGCTCTAGAAGTACATTTTGATTATACTGTGCGATGAGAAGTATCTCTACTTCTGGGTCATTTTAGAAACAGCGTATGTGCAGTTAGTTTCATGATGCAGATGAGTGCTTTCATGAATGAGCCAGAAATAGGAGTTCTTAATTGCAAAATTCAGTACATTCAGAGCCTCCTGCTCTTTGAAAATCTTATTTGGAGACCAAAATTTAACGCCTTAAGTATTCAGTTGTAAAAAATTTACTATCCGGTTTGATTAATAGGATGTGATACGAAGCTATTGAATACTAAAAGTTTCTGGTCTTTCAAATGAGATTTCATAAAATAGACAACTGAATTGTGTAAACAGAGTGATTCTATTTATTGCTGAATATAGAAAGTGAAACCAATACTTTAGCCTAATCTGTTTCATATCTCCAAATCTATTTATTTCCAATTGATATAAAGTCACCTTAAGCAATTATTCAGGGAAGGATTTGCAATTTCATTTGAAGTCACAACTGACACAGCTTAACCTCACTTAAGTGTCTTCTGCTTGTCCAGAAAATAAGTACAAATGTCTTGAACACTTTCACAGCGGCAGTCGTAGAAACAAATACACCATTTTTGTAAGGCAAATGTACAGATGATACGGTTATGATTCAAAGAATTTTTGGTTACAAACATAATAACATGATAAATAAATACATAAAAATAACGTTCATGAATGCGAACGAATATAAATAAAATTTTGTAACTACACAAATACATATAAACTAGCTGAATACACATTTGTACCCTAGAACTTATTAATGTAAATTTTACAAAGTTGACACAAGACTAAACAAGTTAAAACAATTTAAAAAGGAGGGAGAGCTTCGAAGGCTCCCAGTGAATAAAAATCTTATACAACAAATTTAACTAATGCAACAACTGGGTATTTCACGTCGTGCGACGTCGTATACCCGGAAAAATAAACTTTCAATACATGGACTTATTCGAACGGAAGAGCAAGAACGAAGTGGAAATGCAAGAGTGCAAAAATTCTCAACAAAAACAACTTCTGGAGCTGATAATTCTGGATACCAGAAATAAGATGGACACCCTTTTATCTTCGAAAATTCTGTTGAATATCATTCGTAGATTATAAATCATAGAAGTACAAGAGGCTCTTAAAACATTTAAATTGTTCTCAGTCTGGTCTCCAACCAAAAAATTAATAAATATTAGTTCAACAACAAGAAATGCAAAAGAAGGTGGTCTGTTTCATGATAAAGTATTAAAGAGCTTGCTTTGGTTTTCAAAAGTTGACTACCATTTATGTCTTGAGGTTTTAGATTCATGGAAAATTCACAGGTGGCTGGTAATTTTTTTTTTTCAATTACGACGGACTGATGGAGAAAATGTTGATACTTCAAGACTCAAACATGTACGTTGAATAAAATTTGATTGTTCATTGCAAGTGATTGTCTATTAAGAGCTGTCGTATTTTGAGCAAGCATAAGGATTAGTAGCTTAAAAGGAAGTAACAAAGAAATATTCTGAGATGGTAGTCCCAAAAATGCCTGCCTGCGGATAACTCGCATCCCAGTTTTTGTTGCACATTTATGTTGTGAAAAAATTCTTGTAAGAACCTGTGTTGCAATTTTCAGCCCTGAAAATGGGTACCGGTTATTTGTTCCTGCAATATTCCCCAGTTTTGGTCCCAGACTGAAGCTAATACTTTTGTCACAGAGGGGAAGAACGTACTTCCCGAAATCCTGAAATATCTTGAATCCATCTGGATATTTATTACTTGAGTCAACCTCTTATGATTCAGAATTGTTTTGGAAAATATTCTTTGGAATAGCATTAAATTAAAACTAGGATTACAATTTTATTTTTCATTCCATTAATTTAAAAGAATGGCAATACATGAAATGATGATTGTCAGTTAGTGCCTTCTTGCAATAGTCTTGCTGAAATCTCACAACATAAGCATCATCAGAAGCTCTAAGAACTACTTCTGCACAAGCTGAAAGGGCCAAAGATTGCGCAATTTCCTCTAGGAGTGCGTAAAGACCCTGAAGAATGAAACAACAAATTTAAAATCACTAGAGATTTGGCAACTTGGAATTTTTGGTCTGAACGCAAGGCGATCCTCGGTTGCTCTCGTTGGATATTCGCTTGCGGGTTTAGAGTGATAGTTGAGCAATGCAAACACCACTTCAGACACCGCTCCGACCACGCATCACAAACAACTTGATCTACGGCAACAGCATGTCAACATGGTATGGGCTTTTACGCAACTGGTTCAACATAATTTGCTGGATACAGACCGACGCGCCCTTCTTTCCGTCCTTTGCACCAACCTTGTTCGTCTTCATCTTCTAGTTTTTCAAAAGTTTCCCCTGAAATAAAGAATAATTTATTACTTTTCTAATTTCAGTGAATATTATGAACAGATAAAATGAGGTAACTCTTCTTTCATCGCGTCTATATCTTTCATTTGTTTTTAACCTAGACCTCAATAGAAAATAATAACACTGAATAATAACACTAAAAAGAATAGCTTTTAACAATTCTTCCAGTTTCACATCCTCTGTTGACATTAAAAACTTAACTTGTACCCACTAAAAAATTTAAATATTTGTTGGATTAAAATGAATCTTACAATTTAAATAATTAATGTAATTGACAGTGACAATTGAATTAGTCATTCTCAAAAAGACTAAAGCTCCAGAATTAAAAAACGAAAAAATACAAAATAGAAGTTTAAATTGACCTGTTCCAGAACTCGAAGCTCCAAAATATTATGACATTTAATTGATTAATTACATTATTATATACTTATTCTAGGGAATAAAACAGGTCAATTAATACAGTTTTTACTGTTTTTCTTGCACTTTCATTTCTGGCACTTGACTTTTTTTGAGAAGGGCCAATTCAATTGAAGTGCATACAGTCAAGCATACAACATGGTTGTTATTGAAGGGTTTGACTGTAGAAGGGCGTATTTTAAAGTTATCCTCCGTTTTGAAAATTAATTATACAGCATTGGCATATCTTTGGAAACACATCGTCATGTTTTTATCTTGATCTGACGCTCCTGTGCAAAATTAAAAGCCAAAATGTACAAAACCACTTTCTCAAAGTTTCAAATGAGGTATGCTAGGAACACACATTTTTCAATGATGCCCTTTTACGGGCAAACTCTTTGATCCTTATTCTTAGTGACAAACAGAAAATACTGCATGTTTGATTGAATCTTTCAGTTCGAAAATGACCCATCTTGGAAAATGAAATTTTTCAGGAGTCGATAAAAACTGCGTAACAGCCAGAAAAAAAGTGTTTCAATGCCAAAAAAAAAATTAACAGCTTAAAAAACCTGAGTTGGGTCGTTTTTGAACTAAGACATTCAATTTCTAAAGGGCATGTAGAAAGGGTGGGAAATTCAAATGCATAGTGCAAAATGAGAATTTTCAGGAATGGTTCGCAGTATTTACTTCGTGTAACCTGAGAATTCTTAGGTGCAATACTGGAAGGGTAAATAGATTACTTGTCAAAGGCAAAGACATAATGACGGCACGCTTGTATCTACTAACATGGGGGATAAGTGATGCAGTCCTGGCGCTCTGCGTTTGTGTGAGTGTGTAAATAAGCACGGGAATTCATGGCGGCAAAGGGAAATTTGATTTGAACTTGTACCCTTGGTTTTTGCAAATTTCTTGTTCTACACTCGTTTTTGGTCACTAAAATGAACAAATAAACAAATTTGGGACGGTGACTCAGTATAATACACCTATTTTGGCTCGGGAACAAGCAAGGATCTCTGATAAAGTTAGTTTTTCTTTTGCTCATGGTGGTACTGCCAGTTCAAACAGGCTGTTACAGTACAAGATGACCGTTACTCTCAAAAGAGATTAATTGGTCGATGATGGACCAAAAATAACCTAAAGTTAAAAAAATATATATGAGTAAGTGAATTTGAGCAAAAATCAACCTGGAATACTTTGTTTACGCAATTTCATTCAATTCCCGCCCTATATTTGAATTTCAAACTTCTCCCGATTTCGCCGCCAATCCTCTAGCCAAGCGAGAGTCTGCATGAATTTGCATCATTTTTTTCTTCGAGCACTCCGTCTTAATGTCTTTGGTCAACAGGACACCCAGAACCAAAATACGTTACCTTGTTTGAAGCTAAGTTCATCGGATTCAGCACCTTCATAGTCGTAGAGTGCTCTAACAGGAACTCCAGGTTCTCCGTTGTCTACGAGCGTCTCCGACCCATCCTCATCCCATTCGTCCTCCTCAAACGGGTTCGATTCCGCCGCCCCGCTCGCCGAGCCCCGACTCCCTGAGCCGCCGGATCCTCCCGAGCCGCCACCCGACCCATTCCTGCAATCATAAGAAAATACAAAATATCATGAATGTTATCATTGCCCGCAACTTCAAATACCAGCTTCAGTTCTTTTTTCTTCCATAATTAGTTCCTTGATTATTAGAGGTGTCGTCAGCTAAGTTGACGGTTGTTTACTTTCAGTTGCGACGAACGACGAATTTGGGCCTCTGCACAAAGCAGCGATCCCTACTATCCACTTCGAAAACATCTGTTGCATGATTGTATCGTAAAAAAACTACTTATCAGTTATGATTCGCGACTTTTATGTGGTTGTGATTTCTGTAAGGCTAAAAATTAAGGTGTTGCAAGGTTTGAAAGTATTAAAAAACTTATCTAGGCTGGTGTTCTTGCTCCTGCGATAGTCGGATGTTTTCATGTGGATAGTAGTGACACGAAAACGCTTGCAAACCGAAAGTAAACAACCACCAACTTAGCTGACGACACCTCTAGGAGCATTTGGATAAAACACATGTGACAGGGTTGCCACAGAATTTAGAAAATTAAATTCCCTGACATTTCCCTGATTTTCCTGACAACTGAGCAAATGCCACTTTGTTCGAAAGACATAGTTAGAAAAAGTTTTCGGGCAAACTTTGCTGTTTGAAACGTCAAATTCATACGAGACAGCAAATAAAAGTGACTTATCAACTTATCCCTGACATATCTATGACTTATGAAAATCGCCTGACAATAGACCCCGGTATTCCCTGACTGTGGCAACCTTGATATGACTAACCACAGGAAGAAGGACTTNGGGGGGGGGGGGGGGATCAGTCCAAAAAATTTGAATTTCTGGAGTAGTACAAATGCTCAGAGGAGTGCTTCATGAACGGGGAAAAACTGCAGTGAACCAAAAAGCAAACGGCTCAAACAAGTTACAAACATAGACAGCTCACAGATTTGATGTTGAGCTGAGCCGAAGTTATAAAGCTTTCAAGTTCCCTATTGAGAAAAACAATTTTTTTCAGAGATACGTGAATTAAAATTGTGATTTGCCATGTATGAAGCTAAAAATTATTAAATTAGAATGTTATTTAACAATCTCTGTCGGAGATTATTTTCTAACAGCATCTCAAGTTCTGATTTTCCGACCTGACTTGACAAAAAACGCTCACCTATGGAAGTTCTCTCAATCTGAAGCCCCTTATTCTGAACAACAAATGCAAAAATTGAGCCAAAATAGGTCTTTGTTGATGAAGTTTTGAAAAATTACTAGACCGTGGAACTGACATGATTTTCTTAAAAGAAAGCTCCAATTCTCAACTGTCACACAAAATTGATTACTCGATACTTGTTACATTTCCATCCATTTTGTTTAGGATTTCATTTATGGGGTCTTATAACCCTATTCTACTTATTACTATATTTTATAACACCTTGTATGAAAAAAAAATGTTAGGAGTAAGAAGAAAAAAAAGAAATGCCCAGGCCATTAACTACATGTTTCTTTCTAAGTTAATAAATGGCAATTGGGCAGACACGATGTAACTTTTTTAAATATTTGATGGCATTTAACATTAAAAACAGATAACTGCGGACAACACAATATTTTGCTACAAACATCGGGTGCCATGTAAGTCCAAAGGCTAATTAATGACAAAATGAACACTTTTTTGGACGCAAAAATTGAAAAAAATATAGGATTCTAGTAGAACTAACTCAGCAAAGGAGAAAGCTCAGAAGCAAAGTCAGGTTTAACAACTGCTGCAAAAGCTCCTAAAACATTTGATGGAAGAAAACACATTATATCATGATGAAGTACAGTAGAATTTGCATCAGATACGCTAGCAGTTGTTTACTTTTGATTGTCTTGCGCAGTAGATCAATTTACATTTCCGCGCACAGTTATGGCACGTGAAGTCGATGATTTCTACGGGCTGAGGGCAACGCAGTCACTTGCAAACGGAAAGTGAACGACTGCCAACTTATCTGACAGGAGTTCTCAATTGACTTAAGGGGAAATTCTCAGTTGATTGTGATGATGTTATACTTAAAGCCCTATGATTGAAACTCAAACTAAAGCATTACTTTTGGAATGAGAGGAAAACAACCCAACAAAAAAACCACTAAAAATGTGGCCAGAATACTGTGAGTGACAAGATGGTAAAATAGTGCTGGGTCCACACTGTTCTGCAGGGAAATCAAGGTCAAAAATGTCAAAAAAAAACAAATGCCCTTACTTTATTCACAACAATTTCTAAGGAGAAAATAGGGAGTGTCGAGTTGCTAGACAGCAAAGGACAGACATTTTTTTATCGCAACAGTAATAAAGTCCACGCGCCTACTTAACATGACTTGAATTGACTAAATCATAATGGGTGCTTGCCAGGGGAGCTTGGTACAAGCTAAAACTTGGAATTCTACTGGGACCAGAACTGATCAATGACTGTATATTGTTCTAGAACGTACCTAGAGTAGGAAAATGATAATTGAAATTAAGCTTCAACACTCTCATCAACGCTCTATTGACATCGTTTTAGAATGCATGCAATGAAAACGAAAAGTCAGTCATATCATTTTCTAACAAAATAATAAAAAACCAAAACGTTTGAAACATCCAAATAATCTCATAACTTTAAAAATCGATGGCTGTTTTTTAGAGGTAAGAGGATCAAAAATCTGAATGTTTCATTCACAAAATATCAAAATCATTGGAACATGAAAATTTCGGCACAGTTGCAAATGAATCTTTGGCCAGGCTATGAAAAATTGAATGTTCCATCTCAAAGAAACCTTTCATTGTGAAAAATTGCAACAATTTGGCTGTATTCTTCAAAATAAACTCACGATAAAGACGCAAGATAAGGCTTCAAACTTTACAACAAGAATTTCTTGCAACTAGGACCAAACAACTTGGTTTGGTGAGCTGAGGTATCAATGCTGCGATTTGATGTAGATGCGTGTTGCTCCTCTTCAAACTCAGCATGTCGGTTCATAAATTCTTTTTAACAATTCCCCCACAAATGGCATCATTCATTAATGCACATGTCCTATTTAGCATGGAGAATTTCAGCTCTGATATACTTAACAAAGCTCGTTGTGAGGCTAATTTAATCTGAAGTTGCAAAAAACATGTCTATACATTCATTCATCTTACCAAAAATTCTGTGGTCGGTCTCTCTAAGAATTTTCAACCCCGGTCATCCCACCTGTCTTCAATGGATTTTTTTTGGTAACTTAAATCCAAAATGGTTACAGGAAAAAGTTTTCTCTCTTGTCAACAAAAGAATAGGAAAAGATAATTAGCTGAAGAGATAAGGAACAAAATTGAACTTACGTAATTGGAGGAATGCGGTTGTTGGTTGCAGTACCATTTGTTTCACTAGGAGACTTAGTTTTAATTGAATTGTTGGTGACTGGTCGCTTGGAATTGGCTATTTCGTTGTTTGCTGATCGATTCGTTGACTGTTTCTTATTTTGAACTATTTTCTGGTTCACCGGCGGGTAGTCCTGAAAATTGACAACATCTAATTGAGTTCCAAAAGTATATTCACATAAACTTGCCCTAGCCAAGAATACACAGCAGAAATAACCTATAGTAAAAGTAATCTTAGAAAGATCATCGAAACATAACGTATGAATACATCTCATAGTATGGTCATCACAGTGACATCAGTATACATCTCGTAAAACCAACCAGCCTCTGGTTGAATCTTATCCCCATTAAAGCATTTAGTGAATTCAAACCTAATTTTTACTTACCAAAACAAAGGCCTCAGGAGTAAAAATTATGGCTGAGGTCTATATTTAAGAGTGTTTTGGGGTTTGAAAGTTGAAAAAAGTGCTGCAAATGGCCGGGCTTGTTAGGGACAAACTTACTGACATTCATTAACCGCTTGCACTCAAATTTATTTTACCATAAAGGGCCGTTCAAATATTACGTAAGGCATTTTTGCCAACTTTTTGACTCCATTCTCCCCCTGTTAGACACCTGTAAGAAGTCTCTGGCCCCCCTTTTGGAATTTCGTAAGATTGGCCAGGGCGCCCCCCCCCCATTTTTTCAGAAAAAAACAGAGAAAGCCTGGTAAAATAGCTGGAATAAATTTGGGGCTTTTGTATTTTGATGAAAATCGGCAAAAAAAGAAGCAAAAAATTGAAATTTAATTGTCAGGGTGTTTACCAGTTAGCTTACGTAAGACTCGGTTTGACCCCCCTCCCCCTTCGTAGGGCTCCGTAAAACAAGCTTGGATCTCCTCTCCCCCTGAGTGCCTTACGTAATACTTGAATGGCCCCAAATAAGCGTCACAAAATGCTCTTTGCTCGATGAAGTAGGAGTCATGGGGGACATTCAATAGAATAGTAGATAGGATCCTTGTTGCAAAGAAATCCTTTTTGGTCAGGATTTGAAAATGAATGACATAAATGGAAACCATTCGTGTACCGAGAATACTCTCAAAAACACTGCTTTAAAATTGTCGTCTAAAATAAAATTATGTCTAAAGAACAATACCTTATACATAGCAAAACTTCCAGTAAATATGAGTTGGCGGCGATAATGGCACACCAGAAAAATGAAATATTTTTTTACCAAGTGGAGTGCAGCAATGAATACTGAAGGAGCAAGCAGAGGATTCACCTCTGACCTGCTCCTAGCTCAAGATGACAAGAATAATGTTTTTTTCTTCTTTATTGTGACATTTTTAGAATTTTACTAACCTGGTATTGTTCCTTAGACAAAAAGATGCCTGAATGTGACAAGAGTAGAGGAGAAAATATAAAATGAGAGAAATTTAAAGAAATAAAAGAGATGATAAAACAGCGAGGAGAGAAGAAGCAAGCAAAAATAAAACATACATGCGGTAAATCTTCACCGACAGGTCGCTGGTTGATGAGGGTGATACTTCCTGCTGGGATGGATTCTTTCACCTTGCCCTTGGAAATATCCCGGAATTCCTCCGTGTAGTCCTGGATGAAATGAATGCACATACATAGTACTATCACATGCGATTATAACAACAGCAAACAACATCAAAATGAATAAAATAACAAAACAAAAAAAAATATACTTTTAATGACTATTTTAGGTGTCCGTAGATATAAATGGCGAGAGTCTTGTTTGTCACAGAGGGAATCAACGCCTTACAAAAGGTGAACGTGTTTTTGTGTTTTCATTACAGTGTGTTTCTGCAGCGAGGAACCCTTGCCAGATCATTATCAGACATGCTCTTTATGGCAGGATTTTACAATTATTATTTTTTTTATTTCTATGGACACCTTCTTTTAGCCATATGAATGAAAAGGAAAACCAAAAAATCGCAAGAGTTAAAGAAAATAAAAATGAACAACAACCATCATCTCACAATTAAGGGACAGAGAAACTGGAATAAAAACGCTCATTCTTACAGCTCAGAAAAGCAAAAATCTAGGGATAAAAAACGATAGAGTAATCAATATTCTTGGTATGAAGATGAGAGTGCTCATTAACTATTTTCCTTTTTAACACTCAAATTTTTAACTCTTAACCACTAAAAACTGATTTGAAGGGTCTTCTCTTTTTTTAACATTTAAACGGCAACTTTTTGAAGATATTGGGAGTAGGCTAACAGTTTTAGCTGGTTGTAAAAATTCCAACCGTCACGGAGAGAGGAGTTTCTTAGAATTGCTAACCGATCAGATTCATGCAGTCAAAAGCTCTCTTAAAGATAAATGTTAAAAATTCCCAGGTTTTCAAAGTGGTAAGGAAGCTCCGTATCAATCTCAAGTTAACATCTTGTCCCTCATGATACGCTTCGATACATGAATGTGCATGTAAATTCATAAAATCAAATTGTTGCTGAAGATGAACTTTAAATTTTAATGAGGCAAGTCAATTTTTTTCAAGGAACATGAGATTGTAGAGGACCTTAAATTTTTTTTCCCCCGCAAATGGAATTGAATCTGTCAGTTACAAAGGGCTCAAGCGCCAGATATGAAAATACAAAAAAAAACAGTAGAAACTGCTTGAACCAGCCAATTTTAAATTTAAAATTGACTTATGATGAGAGTAATTAATTCATTGCTTTAATATTTTAGGGCTCTGAAATTTTTAAGGGGTCAATTAAAATTGTTATTACCATTTTTCTCGAATTCTCATTTTTGGCACCCGAGCCCTTTGGTAACTGCTCGATTCAGTTATAAGTTATACTAACCCATTGTCAGCAAGCAATCTTAAAGCACCCCTTTGGCGATCCTAAAATAAGCTTTTGAAATGAAGAGCATTAGAATTTTTTCAGGCCTGCATGAGCTTAAATTATCTAAAAATGGTAGGTTGGACTAATATCTTGATGACAATAAGCATTAAATTTTGGATGCACCTAAAACTGGTCATGCAAGTTTCTAATCTCCTAAGCAAATCAATTTGTAGCAGTATGTTCAGATGCGAATAACTTACTTCTTGATTAACACGGATGCCCTCCCAGGTAAGTTTCTCCTTCCTCCCGAATCAGTGATTTTTTATTTAGTTGAATTCAAGAACATCTTGCAGAAAATACTAAAAGCTAATTTCTAAAGAATAAAACGCATTACTAAGTATGTATAATGCTGAGGTTAGAGGACCTAAAATCTAGGACCGAGAGAAGAAAAAAAACGAAAAAATCTGAGTACAAATAAAAACTGAAATATCTTGCTAATTCAAACAAAAACTTCAAATCAAGATTACTTCAGAAGCCACACATTTAAGTGAGGATTTCATTCAAAACATCAACCTTAAATGGAGGATAAACGTACCTCAAAGACAGGCCAGTTCATTGCCATATTGATACCATGATTATTTGACCACCACTTCAAATCTTTCTCATGATCTGCGTTATTTATTGTGTGATAGAATTCTTCATATATTTGCGGTAAACTGAAAAATCAAGCGATAAAGAAATTAAAATATTATGAACTTAAGGCTGAGGTATAGTTAAATTCATCCATTGAACAGGATGAACCTAATCCTTACTCTCCATAAAACAGAGGNGGGGGGGGGGGGGGAGAGATTAGCAAATGGTAAAAGTAAAAATAGCTGGTATTTCAGACACAAAAAAATATTACAGCTGATAGCTATTGGCAAAATTTCATTTTAAAGTTTTTAAAGTTATCTTGCAAATTCCCTTTCACTTTAAAGGAGACATATTTTTCCTTAGGTGATTAAAACACTGCACAAAAAATGGTGAAAATAGAAAGAGGGAAAATATATAACTCACTTGCGCAAAATCTTCATATTCTGAAACGCGTCCACAATTTAAATATTTTGTGCAAGTGAGTGATGTATTTTTCTTCTTTCTATTTCTATTGCTCTACAATGTTAAGATTCAGTTATCATAATTCTCAACACACTATTTTTTTGACTGATCTTGGAAGAGAAATATTCATAAGTTTACCAGGAAATTCATATGTTATCCAAGGAAATTTGGCAATGCCTGACGGTTCATACGGCGTTTTTCCATAGCACAACAGTCTTTAAAGGGCAGACTTCTACTCACACTGGGTCTTGCGAGATATTCAGACACTTGTGGATGGTGAAGAGCGTATCCTTGAAGAACTGTAACCGCTCGGCCTCCATCTCTTGGCACTTCTCAAAGACAAGTGACATGTCTTCCATATACTTAGGGTTGTAACTGTTTAAGTCCTGCAGCGCTTGCTCGTACTTTTCTCGACATTTTGCCACATCTTCTTTAGATTTCTGTACTCTATCTTGCATTTTTTTTACCTGAAAATTTTCAACGAGTCTCATTAATAAATAGACACCAAATCAAACTCAGACTTAATTTTTCAAAAAATAAAAAAATGCATTAACATTAAAGAATTTATCTCAAATATAGACCATAAAATTTTAATGGAGTTTCAGACTATGAATACTTTCACTGACCCTTGGCAGTTGACAGTCCAGCCTGACCAAATAAAATTATTCTCGAGATCAAGTAGTTACGCCTACTCTACCATATACGAAACATAAGCGAATTTTATTTAAAGTTCCGAACCTGTTTGGGAAGTTTGGTCCCGCTTTGTCTCATTAATCACTAACACCAGTGGACACCGTTGTTACCAGATTCAACCAATCAGGTCCGTTGTTTTTGATGGGTCGAACCTTTTTAAGAACCACCTCGCGAGGTGGTACCAAAATCACGCACCATGCGATTTGTTAGTCACCGAATCGGAAGTTCCGAACTCAAATAAAATGGCAACTCAGAGGTTCAGGCACAAAAGTAGTACCGAATCTCTAAATAAAATTCGCTTCGTGGTGCTTCAAAGGATCATAAGCCCCGCCCAACTTGTAATGACAAGTGCTAACCCCTCAGCCATTACTGGTGGAAATACGGGGAAGAGAGATGACGACTTTTCATTGATTTTGTTGATACAAAAATATTCATCTCATAAGCCTTAAAATAAGCCTAGTTCGTCATGACACAGTGAGAGGGCGACAGGAGTAAAGGTGGATTTTTTATTTGACTGCAATGGGTAAAATGGATTGAATTTCGCAAGAAGGAACCAAGAGCATTCCAAAGTTGCTGGGATTGTGCAACTCACATTCTTACCAAGAAAAGTATTGGAATCATGCAAAAAAATTTTACAAAAGTAATTTTCGCCTTGAATTTATACATAGTTTATTGGGAGTAAAGATAAAACTTGTTTAGATGATCAGTTTATATTAGCAAGGTAAAAAGAGTTGTACAACCTTAGTGACATTAGACTACTCTTGGTTCCTTTTTGCAAAATGCAATCCAAGTGAACTTAATCTTATGAAAGCTTTTCAAAATACAACACAGGTACAACATATAGAGAAATTAAAAATAAGCCAAAGTTAAAGAGACAACATTTAGAAAAATCATTCTTCCACAGAGCTCAAGAAATGCTAGCAGGATACATGACAAAGAGGAATGAAAGAACATACGTTGAAAGAGCGAGCAGTTACGTAGGAATGAAGTGTGTTCTGCCAGTTATTAGGGTGGGAGTTGGGTGAGGAATCGCTGGATGGAATGCCTTTCTGAATGACGTAGATTAGAAAGATTTCAAATACCGGAAAAATATGGAAAAGCAAATTGTAAGGTCAGAGAAAAAAGGAAATGGGTGTGTTAGTGAGAAAAAGATTTAAAGCAGAGGGAAAATGAACTTTTTAAAATGAAATGAGACTAAGCAATTCTCCGTTTAGATAATGGGGACAAGTCAATTTACAATATAATACGAGGAATGATAAACCTATCTTATCAAATCACAGTAAACTCTTCCTCACTTCAATTTATTTCATCAAAAAAAGAAAGCTATGGAGTAAACTAATAGAGCTTAGCATTCTGGCAAAAAAATAGAAACGCATTGAGTTTACTACTAGACTACCAGATGGTTTTATTATTCCTTTCACTGCGTGTGTACTCATTTTTAGAAGGTTTTTACCGTTTCATAGAGGATGATTATAATAGCGTTAACGAGATTCAGTCTAACTGCATCAAATTTTAATTAAATTCTTCTGACGTTCTACTAAGCAGTATTTTATTTCTTCTGACGTTCTACTAAGCAGTATTTTAGTTGGATATTTTGTACGGACATTCTTCTTGACAAAGGGAATGTTAGGAGACAGTTCCGAGGCATTACGTTGTTTAGTTTGCGGCTAAAGAATAATAGGAAGTCACGTTCTGATCGAAGTATCACAAGCGCCATGCAGCGTTTCAAAATTTCCACCGCCATTTTATTTCATTACCGAGAAATTTTTGGTTTAATCCGTTCGAAAATGTTACGGAGTTTTACCGGCAGCACAAGGAAAATTCAGTGGAATTTTCGGACAGCTCCGTTGAACAATTTTTCAGTAAAAAAATAAGGTGGCGGCGGAAATTTTAAAACGTCGCATAGCGTTTGTGATACTTTGGCCGGAAGGTGTCGACATGATGAATGGAAATTCGGCAATGTAAAATGCATTCAAGTGATTCTAGTTGAAGCCGTTAGCATCTCATTAAGTTGTTCGTCTAATCACGGAGTGCTGAGATATGAATGGTCACAAACATACAGACGGCGAAAGTTCGAAACCACGTATCTCGTTTGCGGTGATTGAAAGTCTCCACTCCTATTTTATTTTCTTAACGGAGAACAAATCGACATCATTCCTTGAAATTTTCGTGGAATATTTTTGGCACAGAGAAGAAAAATCACGGCAGTTTTCAAGAATTGCCGTTGAGTACTTTCTCAGATCATTTTGGATCATTTAAAAAATAAAATGTGACGGGAAATCTGCGACGTCACAAACCGACATATGTGGTTGCGAACTTACACACTTACACCGTCGATATGAGTGATATGGGAGGGTAATGAATTGTTTCAACTCATTGTCAGACACTAAGAGGAAGAACAAAGACTGACTTTAATTAAACTTCATTTCTCGATTCTATACATGTTTAGACCGACGGGCGATTCTGAGAGAAGTTGGTGAAGCATTTGAAAAGTGAATTTGAATAAAAATGAATCGGACGGAATGAATGGGACCGACAAGGAAAACAAAATACTCTGGGCTGCTTACCTGATCCATGGACAGAGAGCTATCGCCCGTTGCATTTCTTTCTTGATTCGACGCTGACTTCTCAGTTTTGCATGCTGTATGGTAATCGCTTTTGGCTTTGTTGACTTTTTGCAGCAGTTTGCCCCATGGTTTCTGCGCTTTTTTAAATGCATCTTCCATTTCCTTCCTTTCCTTGATGTGTAATACTGTCTGTTGGGGGGGAAACAAAAACAAAGGTTAAGACATCATCTCTTCATATACCAAACTTACGCCCTTTCTCTCTTGAAATGAGAAAGATTCGAATATGAAAGATGCAATACACTTTGTTTCGGCACAATCTATGAGTACATCAGCAGCCTGATCGTTGTAAATGTCGGCACAAGAATCGAAAATCGACATATTACACGGCGCAGCGCAGATACGGCTAGGTCTAGTCTTTTCTTGCCAACATAGCCAGTTAAAGTTTCAACAATCAGGCTACAGTTGAGTAAGCGAGATTCTGATTCTACTTTTTTCCTTCAAGTCAAATTTTCGTAGACAGTTTACGGCACCTTCTGATTTTCAAAACACGCTTTTACACCATTAAATTTTCCTGTGAAAAATTAAATTCTTTCTGATTTTCTGTGAATATTTTAATATCAGAATGCTGAAATTCGTACCTTGTCTAGTGGTCCATTAGGACCTTGGCAGAGATTTTTAGAGTTGATCAGAGCCAGTGTTCGAAACTCACAGGCGCCAAAAAAATTGGAGGCTCTGCGCCAACGTGGCCCCTAAAAAATTACCCCCCCCCCACCCCACGCGAACAAATCCTAATCATTCTGTTCCGTGATTTTTCGAAATTTCCCCCGAGATACGGCTACAAGTTCTGTTACTAAAACATCTTAACTTTTCACTAAATGCGCTGTGATATAAAAGCAAACAGTGCACTGGAAAAAAAAACCACATTGGATTTAGAGTCCAGACTCTTAAAAACATCGAAAAGAAAAAATACTCTTCATTCAATCGGATTTTTGTTTAAATCAAGAACCAAGCCTCTTAATTTGAGCGGATTTCCTTTTTATTTAAGCTTAAATCTGATTGAATCAAGAGTATTTTTTCTTGTCAATGTTTTCAAGAGTGCGGACTCTAGATCCAATGTGTTTTTTTTTTCCAGTGTGAATTCGGCCCCTTAAAAATCGTCAATGGTCCCTAAAAATTGAGCTCGAAGCGCCACACGGCTCCTGAAACTCAAAGGTGAGTTTCGAAAAAACAATCAGAGCTATGCATTTTTCGACCTCGGTCATCGGTTAGCTCCTTCCACCGCATTTCNGGGGGGGGGGGGGGGGGGGGGGGACCGGAAAAACTCGGCTCCTCCAGCGAACCACCGTTAAGGCGAATTCCACGGTTCGATCTGGTAACAGGACAACGCACTCGCGCACACACGAGCGTCGCCCAGGAATCCGACCCTATCATTCATGGGGCGCCCCCTCCAGAGCGCCCGGCCGACGCGGGGGGCCGTCGGACCCCCGCCCCCCTCCCTTGGGATAGGTGCTAACGATCATCGATACGGCCGAGGTTCACAGCTTACAGGTTACAAGTTACGTTTTTCACGAGGCATTTCTCCACCTGACCTTGAGTGCCCGCGGCTATCCGCTCCGCGCGGGCACCTCCCCCCCCCCCCCCCCCCCNGGGGGGGGGGGGGCTGCTGGAGTGTAATGACTCCGCGCTGTTGTTGTGTTGTTCTTTTCTCGCCAGGAGTGTTGTCTTCGGTCGGATTCGGCCACCGCCGCACAGTGGAACGATTCAGTGGGAGAAGGCGGACGAAGTTTGGAAACTTTGAAAGCTTATGTGGATCGCACTTAGCAAAAGGGAACCAGCGCGATTACAGTGTTTTCAAAATCTTGCAACTTCTCCTTTACTTTTGAAAATCTTAAAACTATAAAGGAGAGGCCCCAATTTTGTACCCAATGTTTCAGCGACTTCCCGAAGGCGGATTTCCTTGAAACTTTGTACGCATGTGCGGTTCGTGCTGAAGGGGTGCAATTCGTCGTCCGATTTTCGAAATTTTGATTCTAAGGGTTGAAAACACGCTANGCCGAGTTATGGATCATGGAGCCATAAAATATAGTTCGTGGAGCCATGCTTATAGGTTCACGACCAATGAGGTATGGCTCAGAAAGCCATACTGTAGACGGTAAGTCACTTTGATTAGAGATTAGGAATCGCGTGAATGGGTCGACAAACTCGTGAGTCGATCGAATTTTGTCGATTGATTCACGTCGATAGATTCAAGTTTTCATTTTCAGATCGATTTATGTCGATGGAATCCATAACCTCCGATATAAACATCAAAATTAGCAATTGTAACAAAAAATTCCATGTCCAGCCTACCCATTGCTCCGGAGGTTCGATCCTTAGTAGCTCGATCTGCTACCACTGTGCGCCGTTCGGCTCGTTCCGAACGCTGGTCGTGGAGGAAACGGATTTCGGTTGCCCATTTTTACGACTTGGCAGCACAGTGTTGGCTCTATTTAAATCCATCGATTCTACGTGAGGTGACTTCCTTCGATAGATCGATGGTAGCGTTTAAGTCGAAAAATGCGTAATGTCGATTGCAACGCTGCGAACTTCGTCTTATCGACGGTGAAACTCCCGTGGAAGTCGAAATAGTAGTATCATGCGTTTCGTTCCACCCAACTTTTCTACTCCTGCGTTAAAGTCTCTAAGCCAGCCAGAGGGAGATTCTCCTTCATTTCGTGGGAATGCAATTTTACCTATTTGGAAGTCATAATAGTTGTATCACGCGTATCGTCCCACCCAACTTCTCTACTCCTGCGTTAACAGCCAGAGGGAGATTCTCCTTCATTTCGTAAGTATGCAATTTTACCTCTATGGAAGTCAAAATAGTTGTATCACGCGTATCGTCCCACCCAACTTTTCTACTCCTGCGATAAAGTCTCTATGCCAGCCAGAGGGAGATTCTCCTTCATTTCGTGGGAATGCAATTTTACCTCTTTGGACGTCAAAATAGTTGTATCACGCATATCGTCCCACCCAACTTTTCTACTTCTGCGTTTAAGTCTCCAGGTCAGCTAAAGGGAGATGCTCCATCATTTCGTGGGTACGCAATTTTACGTACTTGGTAGTCAAAATAGTTGTATCGCGCGTTTTGTCACGTCCAACTTATCTACTCTTGCGTTAAAGTCTTATCTCTGAATTAGGCAAATTGAAATTCTCCTACATTTTGTGGATTTGCAACTTCACCTACTTGGAAGTCCAAGTACTTGTATCAGGCGTTTCGCCCCATCCAACTTTACTACTCTGCGATAAAATCCCTGAGTCATATAAGACCAAGGCTCTTTCATTGTCGTGGGTGTGCGAGGAAGTTTTGTTGCTTCATAATTACGGCCCGATCTGTGAAAAGGGACCTCATCATCCGGAAAAAATGGGGAAATATCGATAATCGATCATTCGCGCTACGGCACACAGTGGATCGAGTCAATAGGAGGGGTGGGACACGAAATTTTCGACTAAAACTTCAAATTTTCATGGTTCGTATCGTCATATTTTAAATTTCAAGGGATGCTTTCAACAGAAAATTTCATCAGGAAACCAATGGACCCACTTTTGAGACCTCAAATATTCGTATGAACAGCGCATGAGTTATAAGCTTTTAAAATTTCCAAATTTTGTCCGGCCTCTCTCATTGACTTGATCCGCTGTGCGCCACTGAAGTATAGAGTTGGCTCTCTCGTCGATATTTCCTTCGAGTAAACTAAATTCAGATAAAAAAATCAACTTAACAGTGACAATCGTCGAGTTTTCCCGAGTCACTCAAAGACAGACCTCGTGTTTTCAAACAAACTTAAATTCCTTTCTGAAAAACTCTATCCAAATCCACTCGAAAGCAATTTTAGGCACCCAAGTTGTCCCTGTAAATACGACAACGGTCTATCGATGAGCCGATCACTGGAAAAAAAAACACATTGGATCCAGAGTCCAGACTCTTGAAACATTGACAAGAAAAACTACTCTTGATTCAATCAGATTTAAGCTTAAATCAAAAGGAAATCTGCTCAAAGTAAGATGCTAGGTTCTTGATTTAAGCTTAAATCTGATTGAATCAAGAGTATTTTTTCTTGTCGATGTTTTTAAGAGTATGGACACTAGATCCAATATGGTTTTTTTTCCAGTGATGGGAAAATATGGGAAAAAATACGTGAGTGAAAAGTGATTGCGTACCTTGTGATAAGCGTCTTTTTGCCAGGTTTTGACTTGTTGGATGACTTGATTGCAAAGGTCGTCTTTGACCCTTTGATGAAGGTCGCAGAGTCGGTCAGCCTCGACCAGGACCCCTTTCCACGCTGCTTCCGTCGTGCCGTATTCTGGACCTGTAATCACACAGATCGATACGTCATAAAGACCATCCGCTTACCCTTAACTTCTTCGTGGCGAGGCGTGAATGATCGATTATCGATATTTCCCCATTTGAAGCTGTAGTAAAGAATCGATTACTGAGGTGTTCGTTGCGGACACCCTGTTTATCGATCCTTTTCCATAGGTTTAAATGGCATATCAATCGATGTATCGTAAAACACGCCACGCCACTGATGCTCACTGGGAAAAGTAGTATACATATTAAAACATACCGACGGTGAAAGTACCAGCAGGCTGATTATTGAAATTGATAGACAAAGCTATAGACATAGAAGACATGGAGAGTATGAAGCGATCCTATTGGTTGAAATGTGTGGTTCCTATAGACTAAGGGAGTAAATGATGGACAAACTATAGGTCACTTGGATTAGACTCACATTACTTTTCTCGCTTTCCCCTACATTCTTTGGGGAAAACGAAATGTTTCTTGAGATGTAAAAACACTATTGATTTTTGCAGAGTTTTCGGTAACTTCCTAGTATCCAGTTAAAACAGATCACTGAAGTTATACGAAAAATAGGCTCAGAACTGCAAAATGAGAAGTCCCCTATTTTTTGGACTGATTCGGTATCAATCTGGCTCAAAAATTTTTGGAGTGCTGCTATGATTTCGGGGCCCCTCTTCTCGAGTGGGGCCCCCTCTGACTGACCAGCGGGCTGATTATTGAAATTGATAGACGAAGAAGATATATATAGGGAGTATGGAGCTATCCTATTGGTTGAAATGGGTGGTTCTTATAGACTAAGGGAGAAAATGAGGCTCGGCTAACTATCGGGTCCCTCGTGGGTTGCCGTTACTTAGTCTATTACCTGCCTCCTTTGTCCATTGTAACCACCCGCTTCCACCAATAGGATCCCTCCATATCCCTTCTGTCTTCTTTGTCTATTAAGTCCAATAATTGACCCCCAGATGAGGTCCTCCTGTACGTGGGTGTCCTGCTGGAGCCTATGAGACACCCGTAAGAATTTATGGGGTGCTTCAGCACCCCAGCCCCCCCCCCCCCCCCCCCNCCGGGCCAGTGGGTTTGACTCTACAACCAGGAGGTCCCGGGTTCGATTCCCAGGTATAAATTCAAATTATCCAGAGTGATTTATTATTACAATGTGGAATTTGAAGGTGTGTGAAATCTGTTAAAATTGTGTTTCAGTGAAAACTACTAAGTGAACTGAATGCGAGGATGTCCTTGGTTCATAAATTGAACAATTATTGGAGACGATATGATACAATTATGTAATCTGCTGAAATTCAAGTGTTTAAACGGGATGACGTCACTAGGCGGTGGACTTTCTCACTTTTAAATCTATTTTAATACTATTTTCCATATCAGAAAAAAAATATGAAAAGTACTGCGATATCAGCACTTCAAGAACTCCCGGATAAAGCAATAAAAAGTTTGCGTACAATTTTCAATTGTTAAGATTCGCTGTTTGTAAAGCACGTATTCGACTTAGTTCTTGCATAGATTCACTCATTCTTGCGTAAGAACGCTCATTTACGAACATTCTTAGCCATCTTGGTGAAATATTGGAATATGAAGATCGGCAGTGACGTTTTTCGTGTCGGAAGGTTGACTGCCTTCTTGAGGCCTCGGAGCTTAATATTTCGTCAAGTCCGTACCCTCCCCGTAAGGGTCCTCTAGTTTTACAATGTCTATCGAAGGGAAATGAATCAAAGCGCGCTTTACTGATACTACACTGCCGTGCTAAGGAAAAACGCCGTATGAACATTCGAGAGTTGCCAAATTTCCTCCGATGAAATGTTTCTTTTTGAGGAAAGTTATGAATGTTTCCCTCGGAATTTTAAGGAACTATAGGTGAAATTGCGAGCAAAATTATCTGAAAAATTGGAAGAGAAATATTCATAAGTTTACCAGGAAATTCACGTTTTATCAAAAGAAATTTGGCAACGCCTGAAGGATCATACGACGTTTTCCCTTAGCACGGCAGACTACGGGATACTTGATTCTCCTATTTACACACAGGATTCGCGCTGGTGGCAGTGGCGTAGCGCGAATGATCGATTAATCGATGTTTCCCCATTCGAAGCTATGGAAAACGATCGATTTTTAAGCTGTTCGTTGCGAGCATCCCGTGTATCGATCCTTTTCCATAGGTTTGATGGGAGATCAATCGATATATCGCGCTGATTCGCGCTGGTGGTCGAGCCGGGAAATTGAGAAATAACGATTAGATCGTCGGGTGATTTTTCCGACACGATTCGCCGCCCTCACGCCTCTCGTCTGCGTGGCTGTTAAAACGACGGATCTTACATTAAGAGATGAGCTTGAGAGAGCATTGAGTTATACGGACAACAGGGGTCATAGCGAAATGCAGTTATGTCCTTTTGTCACAAAGGCGACGAGTTGAGCACACCGCGGTGAACACGGACATGGAGACCTGCGCACCTGCGGTATACTCTACCGCGCTATGGAAGAACGCCGTATGAGCCTTCAGACGTTGCCAAGTTTCCTCCGATAAAAACCAAATTTACTGGGTAAATTGCGAATATTATTTTCAAAAATTTTCAGACAATTTTGTATGCAATTTAATCAAATATCTGAAAATATCAAATGCATGAATGTCACCAAAAATACAGGTTTTATCACGGGATTTTTAGCAACTCTGGAATGCTCATACGGCGTTCTTCCTTACGGCAGATGGTAAAAAAGACATAAATAGAAATATTTTTCAGGCAATACTTGTTGTTCTAGGGGTCAAACTCACTCTAGAAAGCAAATTACGGTGACCTACCAATTATTCCCAGACATTTTCGTCATTTTCCCTGACATTTCCAGGTTTTCCTGACTTTTTAAAATTCCCTGACATTTCCCGGTTTTCCCTGACTGTGGCAACCCTGTCGCGTGGTCCCGCCCGGCTCGACAACAACGGCGCATTGTTGCCAAATTATGCTGAAAAATCAGCTCTTATCCCCATTTAAACCCAATGAGAAAAAAATCCGATTCTATCTTGTAACCTGGCAACCTCGCAACTCGATCGGGGAGCCTGAAAAATCACCGGCGAGGCTGCTGGAAAGAAAAGCGAAAAACAGGTGATGGGGGGCAGGGAGAAGGGGGGGGCTCCTCGAGGAAGTTCAAGGTCGAGTGACCCCGGGAGGAGGATGGGAGGGGGGAGGGGGAGCGGATGCATTTTTCGTAAGACCGAAATCACGGTGCTCGCATCGCGCATCCTCCTATCGCACAGTGGATCGAATCAATATGAGACAAAATTCGGAAACTTTGAACGCTCATAACTCCGTTTATACACAACTGCGAGGTTCTAAAAGTGATTCCATTGGTTTCCTCGTGAAATTCTCTCCAATAAGGACCCCTCGAAGTTTAAAATGTGACGAATTAAACATAAAAATTTGCAGTCTTAGTCAAAAATTTTATGTGCAACCACTCTAATCGCCTCGATCCACTGTGCGGCGCTGCGCTGCGGTTGCGCACTTCGCCGTTCTGAGGAAAAACGCCTTATGTATCTTCTGGAGTTGCCAAATGTCCTCGAATAAAGTCTGTACTTCCGTGGGACGTTATGATTAGTTTGTCTTGTGAACATCAGATAATATAGATCTGATCGCGGATGAAATTTTCGGAAAAATCGATGGAAAAATATTCGCATGTTTCCATGAAAATTCGTAATTCGTCAAAAGAAATTTGGCAGCGTCCGAAGGCTCGTAAGCCGTTTTTCCAGGCCACGGTAACACTACTTTGTTGCCGTGCTCACCGTTCGACTATTTTACCGACATTCTGCCGTGAAAAGCTTCGTTTCCACGATCATTTTTTTTTTTTATTTTAAGTGTGATGAGCGAATTTTATTTCAAATTCCGAATCTCCTTGGGAGGTTCTACCCGGTTCTAGACGAAAGCGGATTTTGTTGACTTTTTCGACCGAATCCTAATAAAAAATTTCTTTTTTTTCAACCCAATCCACTGGGCTACTGAGCTCCTCAGCAACCGGTGTCAAAGCCAAAATCAAAATTTCTCAACGCACTTCCGGAGGTAGGTTGAAAACTGGATGAAAGAGCGTGCCGACGTATTCCCGCGCGGAAAATAACTTTAAGTCAAAAGCCATTTGTTTTCGATGAAAAGATCAAAAGACCTGGGTGCCAAAACAAATGAGTGAAAATGCGATGTGTCTAAAAACGAAATAAAAAATAAACGAAATAAAACGGGAAAACATGCTTCAAATGATCTCCTAAACAATCATTCTACTCACTACTGGGTTAGGTTAAATTGGGCGGAGTGTAACAGAAAAGAACCAACCCCAAATTTTCGAAAAAAATTGAGTTAAGAATGATTTTGAATTTCACCGGCCGTACATTTTCTTCTGCCAAAAACAGAAAGTCTAAAAACAAAGAAACGTATGTGAAAAAAGGAGTTAAAGTTTACTTTTTACATTGGGACTTAGGCACACGGAAAAAATTAAATTGCTGATTTCACAATTCAATTGCTAAGAAAAGTGACTGCAATTTTTCAATGTAGATTTTACAACAAAAAATGCTACTTTAACCACCCCAAAGGTTAAATTAGCTTACAATAGTGTTTAAGGTAGCATTTTTGTTGTTGTAAAATCTACATTGAAAATTTGCAGTCACTATTTTTAGCAATTGAATTGTTAAATCAGCAGTTTAAGTTTTTCCGCGAGGAATAAAACTTCAAACCTCTCTTACTCAGTTTCAAATCAATGTAGGTTGGTTCCTCTCTGATGAACTCGGTCCAATTAGCAGACACAACAGATAAAGCCTTAACAAGTTCAAATTCAGAGTGGATGCTGGTAAAATCTCAACATTTTCCAGCAAGTCATAGTCATTAGCGCATGTGCAAGGTGGTGGTGATGATGATGATGGTGATGATGCGACTGCATGCTTATCACCGCCGCGGCCCTGGGCTACCCCTGCCCCCCCCCTTCTCGAGAGGGAGGCCCCCCTCTTTCAGGGGAAGATGAATAATACGGCCGTCAGTTATGCGAGTTGATTTGCCGCACACGGGAGGATTTTGACCCGAACTAGGATTGAAATACTTCTAACAAGGATCGAACTTTTAGGGTTCATTGAAGAAGCGACAAAGGTATTCAGGGTGACCGCGCTCGAATTCCCTGCAGGGTTGCCACATAATTTAGAAAATGAAATTCCCCGACATTTCCCTGACACATTTTGGTGAAATTCCCTGATAATTGAAGATGTGACGGATGGTTAAGAGGGCATAACTGAAAATAGTTTTCAGGCAAAATTTGTTGTTCGAGAACCATTCTCGTAGGCAAATGAAGGTGATTTAACAAATTTTCCCTAACATTTTCGTCATTTTCCCTGACGTTTCCCGCTTTTCCCTGATTTTTTAAAATTCCCTGACATTTCCCGGTTTCCCTGACTGTGGCAACCCTGTCATATTTGAGAAAACTCACAGATTTTTAACGGATACGGAATTATGGCTGAACTCCATTTTGGGAACTACAATTTCTGACTCGGTATAGGGACAACGTATGTACCAATAGTTTTTCCCATACACATTAGTGTTTTTACGAATGAGCCAGTCGAAATTGTAGTTCCTAATAACTGAGGCATTTTTTCGGTAAAAGGGCGCGTGAGACTTCCAATGCTGCTAAGATTGTGAGTTTTTCCTCACTATTGCAAGAAAGTAAGTCGACTGTGAGTGAATTTCATCTGCCGCAAACACTGTAAAAAATTACACATTCTTAGAAACATTGCAAGCCTCTTTATCTTTTGCAGAAAAAGGCCTCAATGGAGAATTTGCATGCAAATTTTTTATTGCTTCATCTGTAAAGGGAAATGGTATAAAAATAGATTTAAAAAAGAGAAAAATCACTGCCTAGTGACGTCATCTGGCAGCATTTCCTATTTAAACACGTGTATTTTAGCAGATTAGATCATTTTGTCATATCTTCTCCAATAATTGATCAATTCATGAACCAAGGGTATCCTCGCCCGTGTTTAGTTCACTCAGTAGTTTCCACTCGAACACGAAATTCATCAAATTTCAGACACCTGCACATTCTCTATTGTAAAATGTAGTCCAACTGTGGTATCTAGACGAGACCACATTTCTTAGTCAAAATTCTTTAGACAGGAGCATTGTAACAGCTACGAATCGTTTGTTCTCCGTGTGCTAGGATTTTGGTCGGCTCAGAGCGTCGAGCTCTTCTCTGTGCGGTGCGAAAGCGAATTGATTTGCACACGGCTATACATGCACAATTGCACATTCCACGCTCCTTGGCGTTGCCATGCATCAGGCGAAACAAGGGCCTCCTCACCGCGGAATGTTCATTCACAGTGCCGTGGCGTGCTTGGCGATGTATCGATTGATCTGCCATTTAATCCTACGGAAAAGGATCGATAAACAGGGTCTTCGCAGCGAGCACCTTGATAATCGATTCTTTACCATGGCTTCAAATGGAGAAAACTCGATGATCGATATATCATGCTCCGCCACTGCATTCAATCGGTAGCTAGGTAGGATCCTTCAAACCATTCGCGGAGCGTCTCTCCCAAACCATTTACATGAGCAGAATTCAGTTGCATGCAGTCGAATGGACCACTAGACAAGGAGCAAATTTCAGCATCGAAATTTGCCGTAGAACACCATTAAAGTGACAAAAATGGTTGAACTTAACTTAACCAATATATTAACATTTTCATTCATCACTGGTTACGAAAACTTTAAATCTGCGCTCACAAAAAAACCAGAGTCCACGCAAACCAGATGGCCCATAAAATGATTTTGGCAGGTTTCTTTTAAGTGCCCCTTCCCCGATTTGTGTTTTCCAAAATATAAACAACGTGCAACATCTGAGCCGAAGCGCCAAGATTGAGGGTGTCATGTTTTCATACCGCAGATACTGATTAACGTTTAGTTTGCGATTTAACTAAAGTAGATAATGGTTTTTTTGTGAGTGGGCAGTTTGAGTTTATGCGTGGAAAAATCATCATCTTGGTTAGGAGTCACATTCAAGGATAAGCGGTGCACTAATCGTGTTCTAGGTGAAATTTTTGTGAGAAAAATATACGTCATGTGCTGAAATTTCATTCACTTCGTTGAGCATCTTGTCTAGTCGTACATTTCGTCGTCTCCCGAACGAAGGGGCGTAACTCCATTTCAAGGTAGCAAAATTGACTCGCGAACAACTTAAATTTTTACAGGAATATACCTGTAAAATTGCCTGAATTTTTCCCGGAACTTTTGGAATTCCCGAAATGTTCCGGATCATAGACATTTTCGGACCTTTTAAAAAAATCTAAAAACAATCCCCGAACTTTTGAAGGTCAAGGAGTGAGAGAAATTTGAGCAAAAAAGTTCCGAATCCCGGAACTTTTGACAGACATGGAAAGGGAGCACTGCTGCGACGTGGCATACGGAGGATCGAATCAATTGGAGAGGTCGGACATGAAATGTTTGCTAAAATTGCAAATTCAGAGGCGGATCCAGCATTTTGGCAACACCAGATTTCCTCCTTTTAAACCTATGCTAAATAATCGATTCTTATGAGAGCACCTGGCCCTTCCCAGGATCGATACATTTCCACCGGTTTAACTGGAGAAAAGGCAATGTTGCCAACTTGCTGGATCCGCCAAAGGCAAATTTTGATGTTTAATTCATCACACTTTTAATTCAAGGGGTGCTCTCAAAAGAACATTTCACGAGCAAACCAATGGAACCACTTTTAGAACCTCAAAATTGTTTATAAACGGAGTTGTAAGCTTTGAAAGTTTCCACATTTTTTCCAACCTCTCCTATTGACTCGATTAACTTGTGCGTGGGTAAAATGAATTACTGTTACCTTTTTCTATGAGTTCGTTCCACTTTTTGGACCAGCCTTTGAGGCTCTTTGCGTAGGCCTTCTCGATGTCGGCCCGCTCCTGGATGAGCGTGCCGAGGTCTGTGCAGAGCTTGTATCCGTCCTCTATCCGTTTCGTGGTGCGCTTGTAGTTGCCCGGCTCCCAGAAGGAGTCGCTCGACGCAATGAGCATGTTGTCATCGCTGTGGTGCGACATCGCGCCGCCGCCTGGAACAAACACCGCACGACCTTCGAATTAAAATCAGTGTCACTGTGCCCGCCGCCAAGGTGAGGCGAGAGAGAAAAACGGAAACACATCATACACTTGGACAGCTTTATGCAATAAGGAACTAGGGTCAAATTTTCGATTTTTTTTTTATGATGAATTCCGTATCAGGAGGGTATTTACTTACTATTGAGAAAAAGAAAATCCTCAAAAACAATTTTTATCCGGCTTCAGCGACCCCGCAAAAATTTGCCGTCGCAGGATCACGCGAAGTTCATTTTGCAATTGGGACCTATACTATGGTTCCCTATTGCGTAATGCGAAACTCGGATTTCCCATTTTGCAATTCGGAACTATAGACAGGACGGCATAATGCTTTCTCGGCATTCTCGGCTCCTGTTCGACCGATCTTGCTGATTTTTGATATCGGGGGGTATTTTTCGACGGGAAACTCGAATTTCTGGTCAAAGTTTGAAAATTCAGAAATCCAAGATGGCGGGTGTGGCCTAAAATGCTATCTCGGCTCCTGTTCGATGGATCTTGCTGATTTTTTGTATACGGGGGTATTTTTCGACGGGAAACTCGAATTTCTGGTCAAATTTTGAAAATTCAAAAATCCAAGATGGCGGATGTGGCCTAAAATGCTATCTCGGCTCCTGTTCGATGGATCTTGCTGATTTTTGGTAACCGGGGCTATTTTTCGACGGGAAACTTGAATTTCTGGTCAAATTTTGAAAATCCAAAAATCCAAGATGGCGGATGTGGCCTAAAATGCTATCCCGGCTCTTGTTTGATCGATCTTGCTGATTTTTGGCACCAGGAGGTACCGTAATAGCACACCTAGTCTTAGAGATGTTTTTAAAACGTGTCAATGACACCAAGCCTCATTTCTGAAATGTTTCACGTGATACTTTAAAAACCCGAATGAAGTGTCAAACACGAAGCCACTCTGTGTTCAACACATTCCCATGTCACCACATTTTATGTGTCTGTGAAACATTTGCAGATTGTGTCACCGAAATGTTTCGAATTCATTTTTTACATATTTCAATGACACAATGGGCAAAGGTCTCCGTTGGCAGTGCATTTTTGACACATTTCTGACACATTTGTAAAACAATGAGCCTTTAACTCAGATTTTCCTCTGATTTTCTAAATGTTTATGACACATTTTCGGTATAATCACTGCAGTCCATGTAGTGTTAAACACGAGCCCACTCTATGTTGAATACATCCGCATGTAACTACTTCTTAACCGTAAAAAAATTTTCAGACATCTGTTTTAGCAAACGTCGTGGAGGCATTATAGCTATCAAATCAAGTGCCTGGGCGGCCTGATTACAGACTATGCCTAAGGAGAGTATGGAACTATGGGTTCACTCCATCAGTATTAAACTATCAGAGGGATTAGGACGTCCTCACTTTAGAAAAGTATACGCAAAGCATGATGTACGGTTTCAATATTTTAGATAATCCATAACTTATAAGCTCTTATGGAGATAAATGTGATGTATACCAAGAATTTAAAACTATTTTTAACTCTGCATAATTAAATAGCCAAAAAGTAAACCTTGAGACAAAAAAATGAACCAAAATTTGGTAAAATTGGAAAATGAAAGGTCAACGCTCTCTGGTGGGTTCAGTTTGATCTAGGAAAATTTTTAGAAAGGCCTGAAAAATGTGTTCAACTTGTGTTCACCAGGTTTTAATGACAATCAAGGCACTGTTTTGTTTAACTGATATATTCCTGACACATTTCTGAAATAAATTGCCTTACCCTTATGCGTTTAAATTAATTTTATAAATGGTTATGAAGTACGATCGCCGCGGATCAATTAAATGAGAGTGATACGAGTATTTCAACTGGAGAGCAATGCGGGAAATCCGTACACGAAAATCTGAGGGCGTTTCAAATACCATTCCGTCACGTTTCATACATAGATTCAATATATAGCTGTACCTTATCAGATTAAAAATACGAAATATCTGCCAGTTGTTTCTGAAACATGTTTTTGAAGGATCTTGGAAACGTTGCTAAATTGTGTCAGAAATATGTCAGGTTTATTTCTCAGAAACTTCGAACTTCCAAGAATTTCTGCAGCAACGTTTTAAATATGTTTTAGAAATGTTTCCAAAATATTTAGTTGATCTCCTTTCCCAACATATCGTACACAAATCTAATATGAATCTGTGCCTGGGTCGTTAAAAAAGAAATTGACACAATTACAAATTTTTTCCGATAGATGTCAATAAAGGTCCATTGATTTTCATATAAATTGTGGCAGAAATGTTCCGTAAATATGTTTCAATCATAGGCTTAGCTGTGGCAATGGTTTTGAAATGTTTTTGAAACCTTTCTGATATAGTTTATTGAACGGACTGCAATATATTGACAACACATAGCTGACACAATTCTTACACATTTTTCGGGTGGGTTATTTATGCCTTTTTGAAATAAGTTTGAAACGTTTCCAACTTATTTTTAAAAAAGTTTGAATGACCGCAATTAGGAACATTTTCGATTTGTTTTCAATACGTTTCAAAGACACGGCCAACTTGCCCATTTCATGTATTCGTTTTGAAAATTTGTTGGAAACATATGTCAATGACTTATCCGAGATTGACATAATTTGAAACATTTTAAAAACATTCCATTGTGTAACTGTGCTATTAGGGATTTTGGACGGGAAACTCGAATTCCTAGCCGACTTTCGAAAAATTGAAATTTTTCAAATTTTGACATTGAGCTTGTTCAGTGATTTTTGATTTTTGCGTTTTTTGAAGTATTTACTACGCATAAGCCACAATAATTTTCTCCGATATTTTTCGCATTTCAATCCACGAAAAACAAGTTTGAGGTTGCGTCTTCTTAGCTCCCCTTTAAACGTGTGTCCGAGGAATGAAAGATCCCCCAGGGGATACTTACTCAAGTAAGGTCATTTTCGGCCACATCCACCATCTTGGATTTTCGAATTTTCAAAATTCGATCAGAAATTCGAGTTTCCCATCCAAAAATACTACCTGGTACCAAGATTCACCGCGATAGATGGAGCACGAGCCGGGATAGCATTTTAGGCCACATCCGCCATCTTGGATTTTTAAATTTTCAAAATTTGACCAGAAATTCGAGTTTCCCGTCCAAAAATACCCCCGGATACCAAAAATCAGCAAGATCCATCGAACAGGAGCCGGGATATCATTTTAGGCCACATCCGCCATCTTGGATTTTTGAATTTTCAAAATTTGACCAGAAATTCGAGTTTCCCGTCCATAAATACCCCCTGACCCCGAAAATCAGCCTGATCGATCGAACAGGAGCCGAGATAGCATTATAGGCCACATCCTTAATCTTGGATTTTCGAATTTTCAAAATTTCACGATTCACGGGTTTGTTGACCTATTCAAGGGTTTATCGATCAATTCACGGATTTTTCGAACGAATCGCGGGGTTGTCAATCGATTCACGGATTTGCGGATCGATTCGCTGGTTTTTGATCGATTCACGGTCGTCAATCGAATCAGTGCCGATCAAATCACGTCAATCGGTTCATGTTCTAACTTTTCGATCGATTCATGTCGGTCATGTCGAAATCATAACACCGGTTTTTCAATAATTTGTCGATCGAGTCAGTGTCGATCGATTCATGCTTTCATTTTTTGATCGATTCATGTCAATCAAATCTATAAACCCTCCCGTCCAAATTGCATGTTAATATTTGCCACCATTCTCGAAATATTAGCAAGTCGGCAGGTATCCATATTTTTGGCACACCCTGTTTTTTGTAGAATATCTTTCCGCAGGGACAATGCACCTCCCCCCTTCCTCGTATGATGGAAGGAAGGGGTGTTTTCTCTGTTGGGGTTAACCCTCCAGTTTGTAATAGTGACACCAGGGTCGTCTCCCCTATGCAGTCAGTGCTAAAACAATCTATAGTTCCTAATTGCAAAATGAGCTTCCCCGGATTCTTCATTTTGCAATAAGGAACTATAGCCTTTTTTCGTAATTATTGGCAACAGTGTGATGTTTTTGACGAATCCGTCAACACAGGGTGTTAAAGGAACTCCATAGCTATAAAATGAACCATCAAACTGCAACATTGATCGTTTTGATGAAAAACGCCAATGGTTTTTGCAAAAGTTGCTCTCCTGAAAACCTACCGTTCTGCCTATAGTTCCAAATTGCAAAATGCTATCCACTTGGAGTGCTTATTTAAGCCCTGCATAGACGATCAAATTCCGAACCAATTCCGATCGAAGTAGACATGCTGATGACTGGTGGTCACCATCTACCATCAAATTTTGACGGGCCGCACTTTTTTGTTCAAAGTAAGATCAGAACGGAGTGCTACCATTCATCATTTCCTGCCACAGGAAACATTTCTGCCAAGTTTTCATTTTAAAATGAAGCAAATTAATGAGTTTAAAGACTGATGACTCCCGACACTTTGATGCTACTTTTATCGGAATTGGTTCGGGAATTTGATCGTCTATCGAGGCCTTTAGGGAAAGTACGGACAAGTCGGTAATTTTGAGGTGAGACCATGGAGCTTTTAGCACGACTGCCATAGAGTCTCTTGGTACTGAGAGGAAAGACAATGCGAATCTATCCCGTATTTTAGGCCTCCACAGAGTCACGAACGGGAATAAAGATTACAGTTTCACCAATTGCAAAGATTATAAATTGGAATGGATCGGGACATTGGTGGTACGGCAAGAAACAAATGGAATGAGAGAGGGAACGGAAATAGGAATTCGGGAATAGGTTGATCAAAGTTTACAAAAAACGTCAGATTTGTGTAATCTTTATACCCGTTTGTGACATCCATGATCCATGAGCTGCGTTGTCTCAACTCTCTATAAAGGGACTCTAGGTTGCCACAGCATTTAGAAAATGAAATTCCCTGACATTCCCCTCATTTCCCTGGCACATTTTGATGAAATTCCCTGACAATTGAAGATGTGACGGATGGTTAAGAAGGCATGATTGAAAATAGTTTTCAGG